GTTTCAGTATAAAGGTTTTTATCTCCTTGCTTAAATTACAGCAAAGGATTTTGTTGTTATTGTTGCTATTGTAAATGGAATTGTCCTTTTAATTTTCTTTTTGGCTAGCTCATTATTGATATATGGAACTATATATATATATATATTTTTACTTTTTTTCACTCTTTTTAAAAAGTTATTTTTAATTTCAATTTCTTTTATACAGTCAATCACATTATTTAGCCTACAAAGTGAATATTTCAACATGTGAACATCTCTCCCTAGTCCAGTTGACTAAACTACAAAATATCTTTAACAGAAATTGGCACGTTTCTTTGTCCCATTCATGCTTTTCCTTTATATTTTTCTTCTAATTGTCCTTCCTCAAACCCTGCTTTTTCACACACACTATATCTGTATTTACATCCATTTATTGTGTTTCTATATCCTTCAGTCAATCCTTTTCAGTCATAGAGTGCAGATACTCGGTATATATTAAGTAGAGACATTCCTTCATAGCCTGCTTGCTTCACTCAGCAGTAAATCTTCCATATTCATCCACTTTCTGTCAAAAGCCAGGATTTTGTTGTTTTTTATGGCTGAATAACACTCCGTAGAGTATATGTGCCGTAGCTTTTCGATCCATTCATCTGTTCGTGAACATTTGGGTTGGTTCCATGTCTTGGCAGTTGTGAATAGTGCCGCAATAAACATCGATGTGCAAGCACTTTTCTGATTAAGAATTCTTCTGTCCTTTGGGTAGATACCAAGGAGTATGGGACTATATTTCTGTATGTTGATTTTGTATCCTGCAACATTCCTAAGTTGGTTCGAGTTGTAACTTTTTTTCTTAAATCACAGTAGGGTATGTGTGGACATGTGAGTGAGAACTAGAGATATGGAAAGAGAGAGAAAGGGAGCATCTTCTATAGGTTTTTGCCATGTGATCCTCTTCTTCTAGTCCTCTAACCCACCGGATCTTGGGCACTTTTCTGCATGTTTCACATGGGCAGGGGCTTTGAACCATGGATACCACATGGGATCTGGATTCTCTTGAGTTGTGCGTTATTGCTGTGTGACAGAGCCTGCCCAAATTATTAAAGTTTTTTCACTCTTTGAGTTTTTTATATATAAGATCATGTAATCAGACAATTTTACTTTTTACTTTCCTATTAAAATGCCTTTTATTTCTTCTTTTCTAGTAAATGCATTCAGTGCTATAAATTCGTTGCAAGCACTGTTTTTACTTCATTCATTATGTCATTTTTAGGAAAAAGTAAATATTTACGTAATGAAATATTTGACTAAGTATCTAATTGAATGAGGAGCAGTTACGGACATATGCTGGCAGTGTGCCATACAAAAAGAATTAGGGACGGTCAGAGTGTGTTCACTAAATTTTATTAACAACCGAAAAGGATTTAGTCGCTTATTTCCATGACTAATGAATTAGCATAATTCTGATACTAGACGGAAGTTAATATTATTGAGGATTTATTTCTACCCTCTTTGCATTTATATATATTGATATATGATTATAGTTGAATCAATAAACAGAATCCTCTCTTAATCATTAAAAACTGGGGAAAAACATGGATTCATGGGGATCATATCTTGTGAGAAAACGATAATTATTAATGTGAGTTTTCACTACTAATATTCATAGAAAAAGTACTTACTCTACTCTCAGTTTTAGTAAGGTACATGTAAGTCATTACACATAATAGTATTTCAATTCTGAATTACTGGCTGGTTTATCATTTTGGTATTTATTTTAGATAATGAATATATGGTCAGGTTATTCCATGAGTAGTTAAATAAATAAATAAGTAAACATATAAAAAAATAACATCGCTAGGAATGAAAATAAGGATTTAAATGTACCCAAATTCTGTAAAAGTCACATCCATTAAAATGATTATTTTGCTTAAAGTATTATCATATAGATAATTTTGATAGACATTGTTCTTCTGATTTTGGTAGTTGATTAAGTGGTAGTCATTGTATTAGTTAAAAATAAACCTATTTAATGGGACCAGCAGTTGGTGTAATAGCTATGTCACTGGACTCTCGTGTAGTTGACTGTGGTTTGAGTCCCGGACCTGGTGGCTTAAATTTACGCCGGGCACGTGTGTGTGCATGCCCAAGATCTTGAAAGGAGAATGGAGAGAAGGGATTGCAGTGTGGCCATCCCTCTAAGGGTGATTTCTCGATTTCTATCTCTCTATCTCTCTCTGTCTTTCTGGCAAGTGCATGCGCCCTATAACAAAAACCTTTCCAAAAAAAAGAAAAAAGAAAGAAAACTATTTAAGTGAACAAAAAATATGTCATTCTAGGGACACTGATAAGAATGTGACATAAACTAGGGTTTAGTTTAGTCTTCCTGAAAAATGTGAATTAAAAATTGTATTTGCTCCCTTGTATTTAAAATTTTTCTTTACTCTTTTATTTTATATTATAATTTAAAGTGTATTCATTTTCCCCATGAGTGAAGGAGAGATAAAGCAAGCCCCTCCGACAGAGTGTCATCATTGTGATCCACCTCAGCTTCAGCCTGTCCCATGTCGTGGGCATGCAATGCTTGGAGTAGCCAGAGCAGTCTCTGGGCTTGAATCCAGAGCCTTCCCTCTTGGGTCAGCCTCAAAGAGCATCACATTTTGCACTGGGCTGCCATTTTCCCCACCCCTTTGTTGCATATTCAATTCCACATAGCAGATTGAATCAAGCTCTAATTGTCTTGGCAGTGGGAGCATAGGTCACAGAACACAGAGCATAGTACATGTAGACATCAGTATGTGTGGCTGGATAAATCTTGGAATGTGTTGTGAAATAAGACATATGTTTGCCCAACTTTGTCAGCATAAGGTCCATTAGAAGGCGGCCTCATACTGTCTGAGGGTGCGATTCCGTGTGAGATAGGTGTGATAGCGACAGACCTTCCTCTTGAAAGTGCTGGACTAATTAAAAAAGAACCACAGTTTATTTCTGTCTAGTCCCACATAACTCACATCTGTTAAAAATATAATCTAGGCTAAGGGTGCTTTCCTCCCACAGAATGCCCACAGGACGGCAGAGTTCTCTTTTGCTAAGAGACACAATGTTGGCAGTTAGCTCTGTGGGTAAAGAACATAGAGACTAATGTAAGTAAAACCTGGAGTTCATATTCTTGGTTGGAGTGCTTTGTTTATGAGTGTTTAAGAGGAATTCAAAAGAATTAATATCTATAGAAAATGATCAAGAAAGGGTCAGTGATAGGAATATGTAATGAACCAAAGTTTTGTTTACTCTGCTATAGCTTAACTGAGGTGATTTTAAAAAAGACAACAGTCACTTATTTTGAGAATGTATAATATTATATGTTACCTCCGCCACAAATGATTTTATCATTTCCATACCGATAGGGTCCTGCCTGATAACTTTGTGTGGCAGCCCAAGAAAATATGGAGAAACATTGTGAAAATAGTGGTTTCATCATTTTTCATTGAGCCATCTTTAAAACATGCAAATTGGGGGCCAGCAGGTGGGGTAGTGTTCAAGGTGCTGGATTCCCACATGGCCGACCGCGGGTAGAGTCCTGGACCTGGTGACTTGAAAATCACACTGGGTATATGTACTTATGTGCCAAAAATCCTGAGAAGAGAATGGAGGAGAAGGGATTGTGGCGAGGCCATCCCCCCTTGGGGGCTGGGGGGTGACTTCTCACTTTCCCTCTCTCTGTCTCTCTCTGGTGAGCACACTTGCCCTATGGCAAAAACCTAAATTTTAAAACAAAACGAAATGTGCAAATCGAAGAAAAAGAGGCCACCGACGGACCAATGGTGAAAGTGGATTTAATATGAAGTGTGGATGTTAGTTAACCACACATGTTCTCTGAGGTCTGTTGTAATAGGGGATCAAATCTAAGAGGAAAAAAGGAAACAATGGGGAGACCTCGTTCCTTGAATTTTGTGTTCATATTGTTACGAATGAACCATGAATAAATAAATGCATGAAGATATAAAGAAAGAAGAATGTGCTTGGACCAGTGATGAGTACCATGGGGTATCTGAACCAGGATTTTTGATTAAACCCATATACAACTCTGAGGTCCATTACAGAGAGACACGTAATTATTCCTTCTTTGGGAAGTGAGCCTGTGGCACCTTTTCTTTGGGGTTTTGTGGTTTGGGGGGAATGGATTACAAAAAGTATAATATAAAATTAACTCATGAATAAAATACCAATAAATGAATAAAGACAAACAATGTACTTACTATTAAAGAATGTCATGAGACATGGGCTTTGAGTAAACCTATCGGAGGCTCCCGATACATTGATGATCACGGTGTTGACCAGGCTGCTATGGGCATGTGGAATGCTTCTGTTCTGTGTTGGTGGTGATTGGTTTATCAAGGAAATGAAGCAGAATAATGCATATAAATCATTGAGTAGCAAGCAGAGACCAATGATGAATTTGTTACTCCAATCCCTTTGTATTTTTTTTAACCAAGTTTTATTAAAACAATAATGAAGAGCAACTCTGTTGTTCTCAAGGACTGTGACTATGCACAGATATATTGTTCCGTATTCTTATTGAGTTCTTTGAGATTACGTGTGCTGATGGCTTTGAGTACGAGAAAGAAGGCTTGATTTTATATCTCAGTTATCATTGTACCAGAGGGTACGTGTATGTGCAAGAGAGGCAGAGGGAGAGAGAATCTTCCAGAGGGGCTTGTTCATGCTATAACCCTTCTCTCCTCTGTCTCTATCCTTCAGGACCCTGGCCATGTGCACACATGCCTGGTGGGTTTTCCAAGCCACCGGGGTAAGATCTGAACTGTGGTTGGCCACATAGGATTCGGCTCTCTTTACGTAGCACCTAACCGTTGTGCTAGGAGGCTGGCCCTATCTGTTTAAAAAAAAAATTCTTCCATGAGCAAGTGAGATAATGAAAGAAACAGAGAGATAGCACTTGTAACAGAGTCGTGACCCCATCATCACCCCCAGCTTCAGCTGGCCCAGATTATGGCACATGGGTGTCTGAAGGTCTCCAGATGTGACCGTGGGACCTTCTCATGTAGGTAAGCCTCTCGTTTTAACACCGTGCCACCATCTAGTTCTTCTATTTGCTTATTTATGTTTAGGTTTTTGTCACAGGGCATATGCGATCACTGAAGAGAAATGGGGGGAGAAAGGGCGAAATCACCCCACTGGTTTGGGGGTGATGGTCATGCCTTAAACCCTTCTCTTCCTCCCCCTCCTCCTCCTCTCCCCTTAGGGCCCTGGGCATGCACATACACTTGCCCTGTGTGATCTTCAGGCTTCTGAGTCCAGACTTGAAGCATGGTTTGCCATGTGGGAGTCCAAAGCCTTGCCACTGCTGGTGCATGGCTAATTTTTAAAGTTACTGACCATGAACCAGTTAGGAACAGACATCATGAAAGGGATACTGGTTCATAGTTTTTTCCCATAAATAATAAATACAATAAATAATAAATACCATGAAATAAATAAAGAAATATTGGGACATGTTTTAAAAAATAGGCATTTTTTTCCCTATAGGATGAAAAACACCGTGATTGCATTATTCTCTAATCATGGAGACCCTTACTGATACTTATGGACTAAGGAGCAAAAAGATTGATGTAAGTAAATATCAGAGTTGATGTTCTGGGCTTGGATGGGGTTCTTTCATGGAACCCATTCTATTATTTTAATGAAATAAACGAATAATACATGAAGTGAAGGAATGTAAGGATGAACCCCTGATTGGAATGTGTCATGAACAAAAATTTATGATGACTTCAACTCAACCCACCTAAACCCATTACTACAGAAATGATGGCGTTTCCCACGTTAGGATAGTTTAGCTGATCTCTCCTGCCTTTGTTGTAGTTGCTTCATTGATTTCTGCCTTGACAAGCATCTGTGTGGTTACCTTTATGAGGCAGGATTGTGATGGGCTGGAGCAGGTCAGTGTTCTGGATTGTGGAGTAAGACAGTGGGTGCATGACTGTTGATTACACCAGCTTTGACAAACAGGAAGATTAAATGAAAGAGGAGCAGGGAGACACCAGTCATAAACAAAGAATTAACATGATGCGTGGGTACCGATTAGTCCAAATGTGAACTGGAGAGTCATTGTAAGTGATCTAGTCTATTTGCTGGTGTGAGGGGGGGCATGAACAGCTCTCGGTTCTGCTCAAGCATTTTGTTCTCAATTTGGTGTCATTAAAGGGTATCGATTGTGTAATAATTATGCACGGATCCATGAGTGAGTGAATCAGGTCAAGAATGCAGAAGTGGAGCAAATCCTGGATCCGTGATGAGTCCTGGTGGAGGTGTCTGAATCAACATCTTTGGTGAAGCCCTCTGTGTAACTCTGAGATCCATGACAGCATGAAAAGTAGCCAATCTTTTCTGTAGAAAGTACCTGATAGGAGAAGTTAGGAAAGTTCAATAAATGTGTTGCTGGGCTTTTGTAGTTCAAAGAAATGGAGCATCTGGGTTCAAATAAATTAATGTGCAGACAAATAGAGACCCACGTACGGAGAGAGTCGCAGGCCGGCCGGCTCGGGGCCGTCATCAGAGTGCAAGGAACAAGTATTGTTAGTGTTGGCCCTTGCGATAAAACAAGCCTAATTACTAGTCTGAAGTAAAGGAGTACAGAGACTCTGCTCATCTCTGATATAGAGCACATTGGTTTCTGTAGTTAAGAGATAAATTTTTTTGTTTTGGTAATTTTTTTAAATTAAGAAAAGGGAAAGTGTTTGCATTAGCCAGTAAGCGATTAAATAACCATCTATTTAATAGATGCTTATATACACAGATATTTGTAATCATTATAGAACTTATTCTTGGTCTACATGGTAGACTCAATAGTTTTTATATATTTAACATTACAATTTTAATGCCAAATTAACTAAATGATTGTAAGTGACAAAATGTATTGGTATCTAGCTCTGCTTGACTAACATCCGCTAAGAAGATCTAAATGTGTTATAAATCTGCCTTTTTTCTCCCCAGGGTGAACATTGGAGAGCTGATATGGTCATTTAATAAAGAACTGTTACCCACGTAGGGAGCATGGACAGGAACGTAAGAAAACCCTTAGTTTATGTTCTTTCTTTGAATGGCTCGTTCATGGCTGCTAGCTGAAGTTATAAATGTCCACATACATAAAATAAACAGAATGCTCCTAGCGTGAATCAATACTGGGAACATGTTATGAACCAAAAATTATGTTTAAGGTCAATTCGCATAACAAAACTGATTTTTTTTTTTTTAAAGAGAGATTTTTGCTATTTATGTGTTTGTTGGAGAGTCAGAGAGAGACAGAGACAGAAAGTGAGAAATCACCCCTCGGGGGTGGGGTGGCCATGCCATAATCCCATCTACTCCATTCTCCTCTTGGGATTTTGGACACGCTTGCACATGTGCCTGGCTTGAGTTTTAAGCCACTGGATCTGGGACTTGAACCGCTGTTGACTATGTGGATGTCCAGCGATGTAACCATTATGCCATCTACTGGTCCCCAACAAAAGTGATTTTAAAAGACAATAGAAATTATTTAATTTATTCTCAAAACAGTTTTATATTATTCTTTCATTTATATCATGGCTGATTGCAGCATTCCCATACTGTTAGCAATACTGGCTTATAGCTCTATTGAGGTGGTCTATAAAAATGTGGATGAACATTTCCAAGGTGATAGAAGATGGTGGTGATATTATTTTTCATTGAGCCATCTTTGACCTATGGACAGATTAAATAACAAAGGCCCTCAGAAGAACCAGTGCTGAACGCAGGTCTGAAAAGGCAGGGATGTGAGTTAAGCAGTCCAGACATCCATCTCTGATGCCATCACAAAGAAGCAGAGTCTGTAGGTCTTTAGCGTGAGAGCCTAAAACTCAAGGCTATTTTTTGGGGATTTTGGGATTGTACTATTATTTGTGACTAGATATATTAATCAATAAATTTGGAAAACAAATGCCCACCATGGACCAGTGATGAATGTCATGGGGTTTCTGAAAGAAGAATTTTGATTAAACCCATCTGCATCTCTGAGGTCCGCCATGAAGAGACGCCTATTATTTATTTCATAGGAAATAACTATAGAACCCTTGGCTTTTGTGGCTCAGGGGTTTCAACTACGTTATTGTAATAAAATTAGCCCATGAATAAAGAAACATATCAATGAATGAAGAGTGAGAAAAGTATGCATGCACTTACTTTTGAAGGCATGCAACATAGATTATTATAAACAGAATTTTGGATTCTTATTCCCGGACAGTACTCAAGGCTCTGATCACTTGGGCGAAAAGCAGAGGATCATCTGTACATTAGAGTGAATATTTTTGCTCTGTGTTGAGGTGGGAAACCGACTGACTGTTTTGTCAAGAAAAAGGAAATAAATTTTCTTAAATAAATGGTTGATTGAAAAACCATGTAGTTGAGAGAGAGTGCATGGAGCAATGAGACCTGTATACAATTATAATTTCGATTCATGAGATCTTTTTACGCAATTGTCACTAGATGAACCAGTCTGCTACCTTTTCGGGCAATGACATGAGGGTAAACGTACAATAAATATTTCTCAGAGTACCTACGCAATACCTACGCCATGTGGGTGAGCTCACATATATTGAAATGTACTTAGAAGGGAACAGATTCATAAATTTACATGTCAATCAGTTAAACATCTGGCAAACACTGTGTCAGTAGGAAGAATGCAATTGTGTATAAATATAATGATTCATTGTATTTCACTCAACTGCTATCCCTAGGAAGACAGAGTCCTAGACTTTTTCAGTGTTGCGTATAGACATCTGCAAGGAATCGTGTTTTAGTCCTTGGTTGTCTTAGTGGTTGTTACTATTCCATGAGGAATGAGTCAATTACTGTGTGAGTTAATAGATTTCCTGAGTAGGGTCAAATTTGAACCATTGGTGATTTTGTATCATAAATTGAATCTTCCATGTATTCAATTTTTCACAAATAAAAATTGTGAAAAAAAAATTTCTTGCAGACAAGTCCAGGCAGATGGTCCTAATAATTATAGTTAGTTTTCTCCACTTTACTGTTGGATTCAATCATCTTGTATGATTTTAAAATAAAAAATTACCTGCATTAATAAATATGAAGTAGTGCTCCTTCTTCCAAAAATGTTTGGGATAGGAAGCAAACCAGAGCTTATGGTTCATTCAACTGGGGTTTATTTAAGACAGATAATTTTTAGCTAATTTAAATTTTAATTCTTTCTAAATTTGCTTTTCATTCCTCAGAATGAACGCCCTGAACCCAATTTAATTATTATCTTCTGGTGAAAGTATTTCCTTTCATCTGTATGGGGAAGGAGAGAAGAGGTCAATGTAAGTAATAATCAAAGTTGAAGGTCTTGCTTGGGGGACTTGATCGGGGTGTTCCATGAATTATTTTGGAAGAATAAATGGCTACATATGTAATTCAAAGGTGGTCATGCATTGACCAGTGATGGAATTTATTTTGAATGAAAAATGATGAATAATCCAATTCAGCACAACTGACTTCATTATTCATTCTCAAAATATGAGAGGCATGTTTGTCATTTTCAAATGTTTTAATATGCTAATTTAATGCTGATTTAATTTTATACCACAGTGGACGCGAACACTTACCATCAATATTACTATTGACTGTTAATTCACTGAGGCGAGAACATAAGAAAATGAAAACTCTTTTTTCTTAGCTGTGGTATGAGATGGTAGTTCATTGTATCATCTTTAAAATGTAATGTTAAATGAAGTAGTCCCAAGCATGAACCAGTGACTGATGTGGAACTGCTATGATGCAAGGAAATGGATGCATTCATATTTGCGATAATGGGTTTATACAGGGCCATCCAGTTCCCACCACTGTGGATGTGAACTTCTGAGCCACTCATATCCTCAAGGATTGTTTTCTCTCCTAATGGGTGGACAGTGATTGTGATAGTAGTGGGTCAGTGAGTACATCGAGAACAGCGTAACTGAAGGAAAGCAGAGTACCAGATCTGGATCAATGACGAGTACGCGTGGGGCATCTGAATCAGACGTTGGGTTAAACCCAGTCTGTAACTCTGAGGCTCACTGCATCCACAGGAAATGTGCTTACAAAGCAAGTTAGAAATCTCCAAGGATGGACTCTTGGTGCCTGGGTGTTCATGGGTGTGGGCTGAACTGTTAAAAGGAGATCATGCCTGAGTAAATACTGAGCTGTTAAATGAAGGGAGGGGCCACACCTCACCATATTATGAAAGAAGCTAATCAAGGAAAACGGCGACTACATTTCTAAAACTTTGAGTTTAAGTGAAAACAGAGCGAGGCTGCTTCCCCTTTGAGAGCATTGGATAGTGCAGAGCATTAGATAGTTGTTCTGGGTTAGTGGTGAGTTGGCACTTGCATGTCTTATTTTAAAAAGAGACAAGAATTGGGACCAGCAGTTAGCGTAATGGTTATGTCGCTGGACTCCCACGTAGTCAACCGTGGTTCGCGTCCCGGACCCGGTGGCTTAAAACTCACGCCGGGTGCATGTGCGTGCATGCCCAAGATCCTGAGAGGAGAACGGAGGAGAAGGGATTGCGGCATGGCCATCCCCTCTGGAGGGTGATTTCTTGCTTTCTGTCTCTCTGTCTTTCTGTCTGTCTAGCGAGCGCATGCGCCCTACAGCAAAAACCTCTTTAAAAAAAAAGAGACAAGAATTGATGTAATTAAATGATGTGTTTTGTATAATCATATTTAATAAATAGTAATGAATACAATAAATATTTATATTTAATGACATAAATCATTATGCAGAATATAATAAGTTATTATAGCAATGAAATATAATTAATAATAAAAATACTTATAATTTAACAATTTTTGAAGCATGGAAAAAACTGAAGAGTGAACATTGATAATGTAACTATAATAACCATAAATCTTGTGTTCATTGATTTTTATTTAAAAAGAAAAATGTAAATGCATTTAAAAATTATTTTTTAATAAATGAAAAGATTTAGAGTTCTTGTCCAGTGTCCTTAGGGTTCATTAAGACTGATGCTATTATGAGAATGAGTAAAAGAATAATTTTGTATCTCAGTTCATTTAACAGAGGGCCAATCATCAACCATTGAGAGACATTTATAATGTGTAAATGAGCATGACTAAGTTTGCTTAAACCAAAATGCTTTGGGCCCCTCCTTTTTTATGGGATTATGTGAACCCCACTCATTAGATGCGTATTTCTATTATCAATTAAATTCAAATTAATTAAAAATAAAAATTCAGTCCCTCAGTCATTCCAGCCACATCCCAAGTCTCAGGTGACAGTGGCTACCATGTGGACGGTGTGGACAGAGCACATCTGCTGCTCTGCGGAAGGCATGGGTGCGACAGGGCCATGCAGACAGTTGCAGGTAAGGGCATTAAGTTTTAGGTAGCAGGTCACTTACTATTTTTGTTTCCTTTAGGAAAAAAAAAAAGAGTAGATAATCAAATGAAGCATAGGATTATTACAAGTGAATAAATAAGTCAGTAAATACATGAATTAAATGAAGTGTAGTGTGGCCCCGTGGTCAGATTGTATTATGCTATTTGGTAGGGGTGTCTAGACAGATACTAACAGTTGTTCTTGTGTTGGGTGGTAGTTTTCAATGTTTTCACTGTATTATTTCATACTAAAAATTCAGTAAGTAAATACATGAAAAGGATACTGCCGTTAGGTTAATGGTGCATCTGTGACCCAAACCAGTTTATGATTAATCTTGTAATGCAGAACTAACCTCTTTGAAAAAATGTATTTATAAAATTTACACTTTTCATGGTTTTGGAAACCTGCCCTTCCCTCTAGAATGAGCACACCATGGTGGATGTAGACATTCTCCAAAGACGACGACACTGCCTGCCACTTCCCTGGGTAAGAAGCCACATTAGTTGCCATCAGAGTGCCTGTGCTTTTTTTATCTGCCTTTTTCCCCGTGTGGACTGAAATACGAGACAAAGGCTGTAGATACCAGCAGTAAACAGGACGTTAAGGACGGACCCGCGGTAGGAATGTGTTACAGGCTAAAGAGAGGGTCAGTCCTTTTGACACAACTGAGATTCCTTTTTTAAAAGATGGAAAAGCTGGGACCAGCAGTTAGTGTAATGGCTATGTGGCTGGATTCTCATGTAGCCAACCGCAGTTCGAATTCCGGACCCGGTGGCTTAAACTCCAGCGCCAAGTGCATGTGCATACGTGCCCAAGGTCCCCGTAGGAGAATGGAGGAGAAGGGATTGCGGCATGGCCGTCCCCCCTGGGGGGTGAATTCTCACTTTCTGTCTCTGTCTTTCTGGTGAGCACACGTCCCCTATAGCAAAAACCTCTCCGGGGGGAAAAAAAAAAAAGGACAGAAAGAATAAGAAAAGATGGAAAAACTCAAACTGATTTTCAAATCAGTTTTCTATTTGTTATTGGGTAGTTAGAAAAATCATGACTCATTTTTGCATAGAAACACTTAGAAAAGTACGTGGTGATATTATCTCTTCCCCACCATTGATTTAATTAGGCATCTGTATTGGTAGAGATCTAGGCTGTTGAACAGGTGAAGTCCTCAGAAGGTGGAGCCTAGCTGTGCCACAGTGGTGAGCTACCATTGTGGATTTTGGTTGTTCATCATACCATCTTCAAAACTGACAAATGACATGATCCTGCCCAATCATGGGCCATTAATATTAATGGTACTAATAGAAAGCAAGGCGTATTGATGAGCCAACGCATGTGGTACTGAGGCCTATTCTGAGAGCTTTGTGTGAATTTAGCCCAGAGATGTATTGTGGTCACCTCAAGGGTCTTGTTCTTGGGAGTTTGTGATTCATGGAAGTGAAACTATAAATAAATGAAGAAGAAAAGTGCCCAGTGAGATGGCACTGGACCAATGATGAGATTGGAGGGTGTCTGAATCAAAAATTTTGATTAAAGCCATCTGGAACTCTGAGGTCCGTTTGAGTTCATTAACACTAAATGGTGCCTATAGGTAACATCATTTTATTGTATATTTTGAAATGGCTATAAGAGAGGATTTTAAATAGTCCTCAAAGAAACGATAAATGTTAGAGATGACAGTTATGATAATTGTCTTGATCTGATCAATATGTATTGTACATGTGCATTGAAATGTCATGCCATAACCGCATCCTCTACATATGAACAGTTTTTACCTGTCAACTTAATATAATAATGAAATGATTAACTTAGGTCCATTAAAAAAACTTGCCTCCCTTTTCCCTCTATGGAAATGTGATTATAGCACAGATTTAGAATATTCAGATAACTTGATCATAGATATTTGCAGTTTTGGTACATAAACTTTCAATGCATGAATAATTAAATGCATAAAAATTAAACGTATAATTGGGTAAATATAAAGAGAGTTGGGAATGGGCCAGTTATGAGAGTATGTACTGAAACTTGGCTTATTCACATTTCTGATGCATGAATTCCAGTGCTATGTATTGGTAAAGGCTACTGCCGCTTTCTGGAAGGAGTATGTAGGTAGATGGATATAAGATCCACTATTACTTGACATAGGTGGCTGCTTGCCAATGATTTTTATTTAGGGAAAGGTTAATTACATAAATAATTAATAGACTAAGTAGTTATTTAATTGATAATATAATGACCACAATTCATCTTGAGAATATGTCTTATGAAGAGTTATTATTAATCTGACGCCATTCACTGCTTTTATCAAAAACAAGAGAAAGTTGAGGCCAGCAGGTGGTATAGTGGTTAAGGTGCTAGACTCCCACATAGCCAACCACTGTTCAAGTCCCAGACCTGGCGACTTGAAAATCATGCCAGGTGTGCATGTGTGTATGTCCAAAATCCTAAGGGGAGAAAGAAGGAGAAGGGATTGCAATGTGGTCATCCCCCCTAGGGGGCGATTTCTCACTTTCCCTCTCACTCTTTCTCTCTGGTGAGTTCACAAGCCCTATGGCAAACAAAACAAAACAAAACAAAACAAAACAAAACAAAACAAAACTAGAGAAAGCAGCTAGTTTTTCCATTTCTGCGGGTAATGTATTAAGTAACAGACAGAGATGACATTAGCCAAGATTCTTGTCTAGTGTTAGTTATTTTACATATATATTAATGAGTTGTTCATTTTTATCACAGTTGATTTTTATAAAGCACGGTCCAGTAAGAAGTGAGAATGATAATTCATCTTTGTACTACTGATGGTCTCTTTCTAGTTTTGGTATGGGAATATAGATGCTTGAATGTGAAAAAATATTTGTTTTGGGCTGTTCTTGGGTTTACCGTGTGTGTGTGTGTGTGTGTGTGTGTGTGTGCACATGCATGTGTTAGTATATGTGAATGTCCCATCAAATAGTTGACAAGTCATTACATAATTGAATAAATACAGAAATAAATGATTGAATAAGTATCTAAGTAGAGTTAAGCAAGGACCTTTGCTGGGAGTATGCTGTGAATCACAAATTCGAATTCATTCATTCTTCATAAGTTTAGTCTATTAAAGGAAAGATTCCCCAAGGTCTTGCTTTCATGGGTTGAGGTCAACAGACATGTGTGGCATAGTCATAGTTCTTGTTTTCAAGTGATGGATTATATAATCATCATTCAACGTTAATAGTTACACCAGCAAATGAGAAGGTATACCATTTTTGGGTAAAGGAGGAAAATGAGATTTGAATTAAGTGTATGATTAATTTAGTATGACTCAATAGTGGTCTTTTAAGTCAATCTGAATGTGTGCTATTCAGTTTTTGAACATTTGTATTTGACTCCTCAGAATGAAGACCATGGCGGATTCAGGCAGTCTCTCCTGGTGAACTTTGTGGCTGCTACCTTTGTGGGTAAGGAACCTAAACCATAGTCAGAAAATATTGCCAATTAGGGTGAATTTTTTACTAGCGTTTCCTGAATTATTTAAATTAAATCACATGTAGACAAATGATATGAATGCACTATGAAGTTCGTTACTCCAGTTAAGGCCAACTGGGGTTAAAAAATAAGATGGAAGACATTTTATTTATCCCGAGAGCCGATTAACAATTCATCTTATTTTTTCACTGCATTTAATTGAACATTTATCCAGTAATAAAATCTAGGGCTGCATGGTCCAGTATGGTTGATCCTATCCACAAGTGGCCATTTAAAATAATTAAAGGTAAATCAAGTTTTAAATTTCAGCCTCACAGTGCACTAGCCACATTGTAAGCAATTAATAGCTAAGTGTGGCCTTTGGGGACCATGCTGGACAGGGCAGTGGTATAGTTCACATTGCTGCTCATTAGTATTCCTACTGGACAGACCCTCAAGGAGGGAGGAGCACAGGAAAGAAGGAAGATTATTCTGTGATGGCTGTGAAGCAAGGACGCTAACAGAGCCATCCCCACCTCACTGAGGGCCACCACTGGAGGAGAGGTAATCGTTTATCCTAAAAGAGCTGTTCTATGGGAAAAGACCAATAGACAGATCTTTGTTATGCTGAAGGGTATTGTATTTGACTTTAAAAATTTTTATTTGTTGATTTCATTACTAGTAGCAAACCAGTGAATGAATCAATATATGATTGATTAGGTATAAATGAGGAAAAGGAATGCTTTATCCTGGATCAATGATGAGTACCCTGGGGTGTCTGAATCAAGGATTTTGATTAAACCCTGTAACTCTGAGGTCCATTAAAAAAGATTCCTCTGTATTATCTCCATGGGAAATAAGCTTATTCCAGGAGGTTCAAAATAATCAGGATTTTGTTCTTGGGCTTCTGGATATGGATTGTATTATTTTCAGTAAAGCAGTACATGACTAAATGAAGAAATATGTAAACAAATGGAGTCATAGGTTATTGCTGGTCCTAAGATGAGACTTTGTCACACAGTAAGAAGCATTGCTGATACATTTCTGAAGGACTGAGACCCAGTAAAGCCAATTGATGGAAGCTGACCTTTTTGGATAAAGAGCTTTTAGGTAGATAGATACGACACTCCGTGCTGTTTCTGGTTAGGTTGTTTTGTTTTGTTTTTGTTTTTGTTTGTTTAAGAAAATGACAAAATATTTACTTAAATTAGTTGCTGGTTGAATTACTACCTAATTGATAGAGCATTACACGTGGATCTATGAGGAGAATGTGAAGGATCCTTAAAAACTTTGTGGAAAAATGTATATTAAAAAGAATTATATAAGGATTTCAGAATTTTCTCTCACCAAAATAAAAACTTGTACTTTAATTCCATTTTTGCATCAATGTTTTGACATCTCTCATGTGTCAAATGACCAATGAGGATTTTCACTCTGTTTAAATTTGGTTCCTTAGTTTAATTAAAAATAATGAGAAGAAACGAGATGTTCTTTCTATGTCTAATGGTCAAATGGACAGGTGTTCATATTGTCCAGTTCTGTGGATTCACAGATAGGATGGTGTTGTTATAAATATAAAAAATTAATATCTTAGTGAAGCCCATGTGTTATGGAGCAGGGAGAGTGCTTAATCTAGTTCTATGCACCTGCTTTCCAGATACAGAAAAGGCTCTTAAATTTTGGAATAGTTAGTATTTTTATGTATTTAGCTAGGATTTCCTTTCCTTGCTTACTGATGTGATTTCTTTAAAATGAAATAGGTAAATGACTTCATTTGTACGTATGTTATTCTATATGTAGAACTGTCTGTGTATATGTAGACGGGTTTTTTTTTTTTTTTTTTGGCGAGAGATTTTCGCTATTGGGCGCGTGTGCTCACCAGACAGACAGAGAGAGACATTAGAGACAGAAAGCGAGAAATCACCCCCCAGGGGGGTTGGTCATGCCGCAATCCCTTCTCCTGCATTCTCCTCTTGGGATCTTGGGCACGCACGCACACACGCCCAGTGTGAGTTCTAAGCCATCGGGTCTGGGACGCGAACTGCGGTTGACTGCGTGGTAGTCCAGCAACATAGCCATTATGCTAACTGCTGGTTCCCTGTAGACGGTTGTTGAGAATGTGCTCACACCGAGATTACCTTGATCTCTTGTCTTTTATTATTATTATTTCTCACAGTTAATCGCTGTATATCATTATCTCATAAAAGATGAACTTTCCCAGCATGGATACACTGTGTATTAGTCCATCAAAGATACTGGCGTATACACTGTCACCTACGGATAATTCTCTATTTTTATGTACCTTAAACACTTTGCTGCTTTCTTTTCCCCCTTGATTCCCTCCCTCTTACCCCTTCCCATTGCCCACGCTTCTCCCACACCATCTGTGGTATTTATAGTTGCTCTCCACACTTTCATACCGTCCAATCTTTCTGTTTATGTTTTTAAAAGAATTATTTTATTTAACTTTATTTATGTATGTATGTATGTATGTATGTATGTATGTATGTATATTTAACCAGCGAGGGACAGAGTGAAGGAGAGAGAGGCAGAGAGAGAGGGAGAGAGAGAGAAAGGGAGAAAGCAAGACATCAGGTCTGGCACTTGAACTGCAGCCAGCCATGTGGGAGTCCAGCGCCTTTCACCACCACACCACCTGCCAGCCCCCAATTTTTCAGTTTCTGCTAGAGAATGCAGACATTCAGTATATATTGGGTCGTTGGGAAAGTCATGATGCATTTTTGCATGAAAAAACAGGGAAATACATATCCTAATATTAAGTGGGGACACACAGTGCCTCTCTTTCATAGTCTGACTTGCTTAGCTTAGCATGAAATCTTCCATATTCAGTTGAATTCTTTCTAGCATGATCCAGTTCGAGAAAGGACTTAGCTGTCTACGGAATATGTAAACCATCAGACATATATAATAGTCATAGTTCTTCTTTTGTTTAGTGTTCATTATAGTAGTTACATTTAATACTCCAATCCATCAGCCTATGACTCGGTATGTAAGCTACCCAAGGCTTAAGTATATGAGAAACACTACAGGTTGTTCTTAGTGAACTCTGCTGACTTGAACTTAGTTAGAAAATCTGAATCTGGCTCTCATTCTACTTAGCTTTCTGTCTTTCTCTCTCTCTAGGTAATCTACCTATTTTTATATTTGCTTTGTGCTCTGCAGAATGGATACATAGTGAAGATGGTGGTCATTTTATTTGAGTACTAAGTGTAGAACCCATGTAAGTAACAAAGTAATTCTTCTGTTTTGACAGTTTGTCATGGCTGTTAACACTAATAGGGAAAAGGAGCAAGCGGCTGCAGAGAAACAGCATGAGCGAAGGTTATATTGTGGAATAATTCAGCACTTCTGTGGTTAATTAGGGAGAAAAGGCGAGTCCATTTAATGAACTTTTATACTTAATTCCTCCATTAATTAATGTAAAAATTAATGATTCCATTTTATTTTTGAGTCACAGTTAATTTAAACTTCCCTCTATTCATAAAGACACAGTTTAGTCACACTCTTAAGATGAGAGATACTGTCAGTGGTTAAGCGTGGGGCTGATGGTGGGTTTATAGCCATTTATTGTCACATCTTTAAATGTGGACAAGTACATTAAGGATAATCATGCCATGTCCAGTTAAGAGTGTGGAAATTATGGGAACCAGCAGTTAGCGTAATGGCTATGTCGCTGGACTCCCACGTAGTCGACCGCGGTTCGTGTCCCGGACCCAGTGGCTTAAAACTCACACCGGGCGCGTGTGCGTGCGTGCCCAAGATCCCGGGAGGAGAATGGAGGAGAAGGGATTGCGGCGTGACCATCCCCCCTGGGGGGTGATTTCTCGCTTTCTGTCTCTATGTCTCTCTCTGTCTGTCTGGCGAGCGCACGTGCCCTATAGTGAAAAAAAAAAAAACCCTCTCAAAAAAAAAAAAAAAAGAGTGGGGAAATTATATTAGGCAGAAAACCCCCTACTCTTGAATTCTCAGCTCAAATGTATCAATCTTTGCCCTTGATATCTGATCACTCCCATCCCACACCCATGTTTCCATTTAGTAATTTTCCATCCACTGATCCTCACTCAGAGACAGAAAGCAAGAAATCACCCCCCAGGGGGGATGGTCACGCCGCAATCCCTTCTCCTCCATTCTCCTCTCAGGATCTTGGGCACACAAGCACACGTGCCCGGCGTGAGTTTTAAGCCACTGGGTCCGGGAAGCGAACCGCGGTCGACTACGTGGGAGTCCAGCGACATAGCCATTACACTAACTGCTGGTTCCCGCCTGGCGTGAGTTTTAAGCCACCCGGTCCAGGATGTGAACTGCGGTCGACTTCGTGGGAGTCCAGTGACATAGCCATTACGCTAACTGCTGGTCCCACTATTCTATTAATGTACAGAAATGAATCTACTACACAAAGGGGCTGTTTCCACTGTGAGAAAAAAACTATGGAGACGCCTTAGGGTAGTCTAGTTTCTTGATGTTTCTTTGGTCTTAAATACTGATTATATTATTAGTGGATCAGTAAAATATGAGCTGTTGTACAAATACATGAATAGAATACTAAAGAGGGACTGAGGGTGAGTGTTTGTTGGGCAAGACCCAATGGTTATGATGAGGCCAAAGAAGGCCCAGTGACGTCCATTCCCAAGAGGACGGTCTGTTCGTGGTGTGGGAAAGGAGCCCTGTCTGATGTGGCAGTGCGGTCGTGGACGTTGTGAAGTTCTTGTAGGTTATTGACCATGTTATTGGGTTGTCGGGAAGGTCATGGAGCATTTTCGCATAGAAAATCGCAGCATGACTTTCCCACCAACCTAGCATAAGTTTATCAGTGGGTGACTCAGCACACGAATATACACATGAAAGAGAAAAACGGTCTGCTAGGGAGTATATAATGCAGCAACAGTTATTCCAATATTTATGAGGAACGGAAGTCCACTAAAAACAGATAAAGCACCTTGCCCTCCTGTTTAAGGGTGGGCAGGTTTAAGAGTCAGCATGTCAGCATGCTTATTCTGGTTATAGTGCAAGTCCGTAGTTTTCCATTTTATTTTAGAAAGAGAAAGGGAAATGCTGGTAAATACATAAATGAACGAAACAGTGACAGGTTAACTGAGTAAACAAAAGGGAGCGTGACGGGGCCAGTAGGAAGCATGGTTCTGGAACAAGAATGATGCTTTATTCTGTTCTATAAAGTGTTTTCCATGGTGCTGGGTACTGTGCTTGCAGACAGACAGATGCACATTTCAGTTCTGAGTTGCTGATTTGTTTACCCTGCTCGTTTTCTTTAGAAATGTGGATAGACAATTCAGTTAATTTGTGAAGAAGACAGATGTATACAAATTTATGCACACATGAATGAAGCCGTGGATCACCTAAAGACTGTGACACATTTAGAATAATTATATTTAGATGTAGTCTACTTAAAAGTTGACCTAAATTCTTATTTATTTTTAATTTTATTCATTGTTATTATTTTATTTCATTTTTTAAAAGTTGACCAGAGAGAAACTCAGAAAGAGGGGAAGTGAGAGAGCAAGCTGGCAGGCCTGGAACTTGAACTGCATTCAGCATGTGGGAGTCTAGCCACCTTAACCACCATGCCACCTGCTGGCCCCGTAAATTGTTACTTATGTGGGTAGGGTGTATAGAGACAACTGTTCTCAAATGATGTAGCTTTTTTTCTTGGCTTTAGTGATGAAGTTAGTTGTACTTATTATACTATTGAAAATTAACTTTGATTTAATCATAGACGAATCATAAGCCAGTGATCAAACTCTTTCTTATTAAGGATTTCAATCAATGCAGTAACACCTGACATCCATAAAAAGAAAAAGCGCACAGTGGTCTCCCTATTGATAACATCTGCTTTGTTCTTCACAGAACAGATGCCTAAGGGCTGACGTAATCCCTCTCCAATGATGAAGGAGTTGACTGTGACCAGCCTGGGTAGAGCGTGCATAGACTGTGGTTAGTAATTGCCTAAGTTCTAAGAATCTTTTTATTATATTTTCGATTAAGGAATTTTGATTTTGTCATGAATGGATCAATGAAACACCCAATGAACAAATATATAAATAGTTAAATAACCATTGCCTAATTATGAATTTAAGTAGTAAGGCAAGAAATAGTAATATAAATAAAAAAATTAAAGTCTTAAGGAATATAAATATGTGGAGCAAGAATATTATCTTTTGTCTAGGATCTTTTCTTTATTAATTAATTAATTAATTAATTTTTTTGGAGAGGTTTTCTTTTGCTATAGGGCACATGAGCTCGCCAGACAGAGAAAGACAGAGAGACAGAAAGTGAGAAATCACCTCGCGGGGGGATGGCTACACCGCAGTCCCTTTTCCTCCATTCTCCTCTCAGGATCTTGGGCACACACGCACACGCGCCCAGCATGAGTTTAAGCCACCAGGTCCAGGACGCGAACCGCGGTCGACTACGTGGGAGTCCAGTGACATAGCCATTACACTAACTGCTGGTCCCTTTTGTCTAGGATCTTAAAGGCACTGAGTATAAATAATGGTCAATATTATTTTTCTAAGTCAGTTCAGATTTGAGGTTGTTCATTTGATTAGTAGAAAAATATAAAATATTACCATAGGCTTAATAAAGACTGAAATTATTGGGAAAATGAAAGGATGAAACAGGCCTAACAAGATAGGTTATCTATTTTTTATCATCTGCTATGTTTTGTTCTCCCCAGCATAAACACCCCTGATCCTATTTAAGCATTGTGTGGTGACCATGAACTTGATCATTTCTGCTGTGTTTGCAGGGACTCTTGTGAGTAATATTCAAAATTCTTATTTTGATTTTTAAGAATATCCTCTGTATTATTAAAAAGTATAAGATTAGGGCCAGCAGGTGGTGTGGTGGTGTGGTGGTTAAGGCACTGGACTCCCACATGGCTGACTGTAGTTGAGTCCCGGATGTGGTAGTTTGCAAGTCAGCCAGGTGCATGTGCGTGCATGCCCAGAATCCTGAGAGGAGAATGGAGGAGAAGAGATTGTGGCATGGCCATCCCTCTGGGGGCTGATTTCTCACTTTCCCTCTCTCTGTCTGTCTCTCTGTCTCTTTCCAGCAAGCACAGGCACCCTATGGCAAAAACCTAAGAGAAAAAGGTGTAAATATAATAAATTATTTTCAACCATTATTCATGACTTAAGAATAAATAGAGTAATGATGAAGAAAGAGATGCGCTCTGGACCAATGATGATGACTAGTGTTGTACGAGTCATGGATCATGAGTACAGGTCTGGAAGTCTGAGGTCCAACCCTGTAAGAAATGCCGTCTACACCTCTGATCCTATGGACAGATGTCAGAAATGTTCAAGGATATTGTCCTTGATTTTTGTGTTTCTACCTCTTTATTTTTGTAATTGGATGAATGAATAAATAAATGAAGAGGATGAGCTATTGCTCTTGAAAATAGAAGAGAGAAGAAATCCTATTCATATATAATAAAAACACTGAATTCCATTAAGAAATAAATAGTTCAAAATACCACATCTTTGGCTGAAGATCATATATCCAGTAAAAATAATGGCCTAAGTCTTTTTTTTTTTAGGTCAAGGCCATGTTTGATGTTGTTTTCTCAGGGGAAAAAAAATCACAATTTAATACACAGTTAAATGTCTAATAAACTGAAAAGAGGAATGCAAGGATCAATGGATAAGATAATTTTAATCTTTTCATAATCTGTCTGCTTTGTACTCTCAGAATGGCTGTACCCACGCGGACTCAATTCTTCTCCCAAGGTATGAGCTCTGTGATTACTGCTGTGTTAGGATCATAGTCAGATTCTTGTCTTGGTTTGCAGGTGTTTTAGAGTAGTCACAGTATTGTCAAGTGCATTATATATTATCCAAGAAGGACCATGGCCCGGCAATAATGATGGTATTGCCATGAAACACTGTGTTGAGTAATCAATATTTGCAAAATTGGAAATTATTAATGAAAAAATATACTCAAAGTGGCAAATGATCCTATAGATAAGCTATCAAGTATATCTAAGGTTGATATTCTTAAGACTTTTTGATTCATAGTTATTTAATCACTATTAGTGAAGCGATGTGTTGCTCAATAAATGAACATTGAGGGACCAGCAGTTAGCGTAATGGCTATGTCGCTGGACTCCATGTAGTCGACCACGGTTTGCGTCCCGTACCCAGTGGTTTAAAACTCATGCCGGGTGCATGTGTATGTGTGCCCAAGATCCCGAGAGGAGAATGGAGGAGAAGGGATTGCAGCATGACCATCCCCCCTGGGGGTGATTTCTCGCTTTCTGTCTCTGTCTCTGTCTGCCTGGAGAGCGCATGCGCCCTATGGCAAAAACCTCTAAAATAAATAAATAAATAAATAAATAAATAAATAAATAAATAAATAAACGAACATTGAAATTCGTGGAGAAGTGAAGGGCCAGTTTTAGAGCAGCATGACAGCTTGTAGCTTCTGAATCATGAGATCCAGCATGAAAGAAGCCAGTTCATTCCCTCTGTGGGAAATGATCCTACAGATAAAAGTAGAAATAGACAAGAATCGTGTTCTTGGTTTTTTAAAATTAATTTTCATTCTGTTATTGCAATTTGATCAATAAAGAATAAATAACAAAAATGGAAATACCCCATAATAATGAACATATATTGAGAGACAGGGAAACCATCTATACATACTGAAAACGTGCGTCTGTTAAGAACTATTATTATACTGAAAACGTGCGTCTGTTAAGAACTATTTGATTTGTGGCCAGCCAGTGATGTGGTTGGGGCTGGATCCCATATGTCCAACTACACAATCACAGTATTCGCTGTGGCATCTTGAAAACATGTCTGGTCCGCGTATCTGCATGCCCAAAGTCCTGAAAAGAGAAATGGGAGAGAAAAGATTGTGGAGTGGCCATTCCACATGGAGGGTGCTTTCTCACTTCCCTTTTCTGTCACTAGTGAGCATACCTGCCCATCTGGCCAAAAAAACCCCAAAAAACCATGGTTTAAATATTTTATCTACACTTAAGGATGATATAGACGATGTAAGTAATAGCCAATATTCTCATTCTGAGTTAATAAACAATTCTCCGAATTAATAAAAATTTAAATCACTGGCTAATTGAAAGGTCGAACGCGAGACTCAGTGGAGAGCGTATCTCAATGTTGCTCTCACCCGCTCTGCTTGGTACTCCTCAGAACCGGATCACCGCGCTGATGTGAGGAAGCCCCGCCACCACAAGTTGAACGCTTGCTCTGTGTTTCGTGCATGTAAACCAATGTAAGTGTTGGTGGATGTGCAATCTTTATTGAAAAATGTGAAATATAATAAAAAATACAACTGTGGATCATTAACAAATATAGATGGGATATATAGCATTATATTGATTAATCCATAGATAAAACCACGATGTTGATTAATAAAAGGAATTTATTACCAAATGATTCTATAGATAGATGCAGGACTATCAAGGCTCAGGTGTGTTCCCTTTTATTTTTTGCTTCATAGGTATTTATTTTCTTACTGTCAGGGAAGTGATGATTAAATAATGAAAAAAAGGTAGATGAGAATTAAAAAAATAAAGAGGCCCGATCCTGGATCAATGATGATTGCTGGTGGCGTATGAGTCATGGATGATGAATACGTGTCTGGAACTCTGAGGTCCAACGTAAAAATAGATCTAGTTTATTGCCTCTTGTTGGAAATGATTGATAGATTTAGAATTTTAGAAGGATATTGTTTGGGGCCTTGGTGCTCATAGATTTTTGATTCTATTGTAATAAATGGATCAATAAAACAATCAGTATATAATAAAACATCACTTTGTACAAATTTTATCAGAATAATTTTAAGATGAATAAAGAATCAATGCACAAGTATAAATAAATAAAGAGAAGAGGGCGAAACATCACCCAATGAAATGAGTGAGGCAAGAGAAAACCCTAAACCAATTAAATAAATGGCCGAAAGCTGTTACCTCCAGTTAATGAGACACATAAATAATGACCAATATTCTTTTTCTGGATTAGTGAACGTTTAATGGTTTTAGTTTTTATGAATAGAATGTGAACTATATGAAATTAGATATACTCAAATGACTAGAAAATGCACTGTAGATACAAGGGTCGGTAGGATATCTCCGATCATATTGTCACCTCTCCACTTTCTACTTTCTAGAACAGGAACACTCAGGCTGATTTAAGGATTGAAGGATTCTGCAGTGGTCAGAGATCTCTTTGGTTGTCTCCAGATGTGGGAATTGGAGACCAAGGTGAGTCCATGTTCTCATCTTGGTCTGGATAGATTGTTTAGTTTTATAATTAGTATATTAAAAAAGTATTAAGTATGGAAAAAAGACCAACAGTAGTCCATTGATAAATATGTAATTGATATAAAGTATCATGTTGATTCCAGCAATCAGGATAGTTAATGACAAGAGTGTAGTCAATAGGCAAATGATTCTATAGACATTTGGATCACTGTGTTTATTATATATACGAAGCATTGAGGGTGATTTATGGAAGAGATGTACTAACGTACAAAATGAGTTTATAAGGACATGTAGCTATGTAAGACTCTTATTTCTGGGCTTTTTGAATAATAAGATATTAAAAACATCACATCAGTGGATTAATGAAGTAACCGATGAATAATTTTAGATGGATAATCAATGTGGGAAACTACCCAGGCACGGGGGATGCATACTGCATGATGTCTGTTACATGTAGAATATAAAAAGTCGCCCTCACAGAAGTTGAGTAGAAAGGTGGCTATCAGACCCTCGAGTGTCAGTGGGGGGTGGTGAGATGTTCGAAGGTTTTAGTTAGGCAGGAAAAGATGCAGCGCTACGTTCCACAGAATGGTGACTATAAAAATGGTGTATATTTCCAAACTGCTAAGAGTTGATTTTTAAGTGTTCTCACTACAAAAAGTGGTGAGGTTGTGAAGTGCTAGATATTTTTAATTAGCTTGATTTAACCTTGCCACACGTTAACTTGTCAAATATCAAATTGTCTCTCTCTCTCTCTCTCTCACACACACACACACACACACACACACACACACACAATTATTATATATATTTTTGTCAGTTAAAAATAAAGTGTTAGGGGCCAACAGATGGTGTTATGGTTAAGGCACTGGACTCCCTCATGGCTGACCATGGTCCACCCCTAGGGGGTGATTTCTAACTTTTCCTCTCACACTATGGCAAAACCTTTAAAAAAAACTTTAAAAGAAAAAGGAAAATATGGGCTTGGCAGGCGGCATCGTGGTAGGGCAGTGGACTGCGGTGTGAGTCCTGGACCTGACGGTTTACTTTCTTGCTTTCCTTTTCTCTCTCTCTGACTCTGTCTGGTCAAATTGAAAAATAGTAATAACAAATGGAATTAATTAAATAAATAATTCTTTAAATAAAATGGAAAATAGTTTATTGAGATCCTATAGACAGATTTTAGAAATATAAAAGTATTGTTTTCTTGACACTTGTTATGAATTTTGATTGTGTTATAATTTATGGATTAATAAGAGAATCAATGTGCAAAATAAATACAAAAAGGTGAAGAGGATGAAGTTTGTTGAATCTTAATATATGTGGTGGGGGAATAAAACCTTCATATATACCAATGTATACAAAAATGATTAATGTGTATCTATCAAAACTACCAATGTCTTTTAAGACATAAAAATGGTTCAAGTGCCGTTTTGACTGAGGATGCATTAAACAGTACAGTCACAACTGCTTATCCTGAGTCAGTGACATGTTTGATCATTTCCTAGGGAATAATTAACAAATGTTAACCCAAATTAATAGATCCCTAACTGCTTACTGCAGTGAAGGTGGACTGCGTATACCAGTCTTACTGTCTGCTCTGTTTGCAGGTCTCAGAATGGGCACACCTAGGCTGACTCATGCCTCAGCTATGTGCTCCATGGTTGCTTCTCTAGCTGGAGCATGGAGACTCATGTGAGTAATGGGCAGTGTTCTTGTCATGGTTCTAGTAGTTCATTTAGGCTTTCACTGTGATACTGAAAATACTAAACATAATTAGGGGCCTGGTGGTTTAGGTGCTGGATTCCCACATGCCAACTATGGTTGAAGTCCTGCACTTGGATGCTTGGAAATCACTCAGGGTGCATATGCATGTGTGCCCCAAATCCTGAGAGGAGAATGGAGGAGAAGTGGTTGCAGTGTGACCATCCCTGTATGTGTGTTGGGGGGTGATTTCTCACTTTCTGTCTATCTTCTTCTGGCAAGCATACATAATTTATGGCAACAACCTAAAATGTATATATCTGAAATACAATTAAAGAAGGCCAACCATTGACCAGGGATAGATATAGAACTGACATGAAATATTGTGTTACTTAATCAGTGTTCACAACAATGAAGGTGATTAGTGAAAGAGGTTCATTAACTTTGACAAATGATTCTACATGCTGATGTTAGGGTGGCTTAAGGATCTTGCTCTTATAATTTGATTCCTGCGTATTTATTTTATTATTGTTATTAATGAACTAATAAGTTAACTATAATCATGTGTAGATGAGAACGGATAAAAATTACCAGTCCTGGAGTACTAATGATGGCTAGTGGTGTCTGGGCTGTGGGCTGTGGGTAGTATGTGCTGGAAATGAAGAGGCCCAACAGAAAGGAAGCTAGTCCATCCCCAGGGTTTGGATGATCCTACAGATTGAAGTTAGGATACTATGAGGGTCTTGTTCTAGTCTTTGTGTGTATAAATTTAAAAAAATTATGTATGAGTAGCAGTGGTGGAGTATATAAACAAGTATATAAATTAATAAAGATGAAAGATGAACTGCTCTTTAATATTAAAATGTATAGTAAGAAAAAAATATGCTAATATAAATGAAATAGGTAACAAGTAGATTGGTGTATTATATCTTTGTCTAAGGATGATATAAGTAATAGTTATATCAACCTGATTCAGTTGATAATTTCATGTTTGTTATATAAAGAAAAGTTAATAGACTCTACTCAGCCATGGAAAACAATGAGATCCTGACATTTGATATGAAGTGAACAGATACGGAAAATTGAATGCTAAGCAAAGCAAGCCAGACTGAAAGACAGTCATTATATGTCCCCACTTAATATTACATATACTGAATATCTGTATTCTTTTTTTTTTCTTTTGGAGAGGTTTTTACTACAGGGTGTATATACTCTCCAGAAAGACAGAGAGAGACAGAGAGACAGAAAGCGAGAAATCACCCCCCAGGGGAAATGGCCACACTGCAATCCCTTCTCCTCCATTTGCCTCTCAGGATCCTGGGCTTCAACTCATGCACACGTGCCCGGCATGAGTTCAAGCCACCAGGTCCAGGACTCGAACTGCATGCAGTCAGCTACATGGGAGTCCAGTAACATAGTCATTATGCCAATTGCTGGTCCCCTGAATTCTGTAGCAGAAAGTGAAATATTAGAAGGTTTGTTGGCAGGGTGGCCAATTGTAGATACTAAAGACAGTATAGGAGGGGATGGGGAATAGGGGGATTGGAGGGAGGCGATCAGGGAACAAAAAGAAAACATTAAACATAAAAATGAAAAGTTATCTGTTGACGATAATGTATATGATCTTGTCTTTGCGTTAACTAATATGCACTGTGTTCATGCTACGAAAAACCATGTTGTACACTGTAAAGATGCACAGTGATTAAATGTGAATAAACAGTTACCAAAAACTTAAAAATGCCTAAATGGCTATAAAAATAAATGGTAAAAACTATGGATGAATGAAGAAAATGTCTCAGTTTTTTATTGTGCTCTCAATTTTGTACTCTGCAGAATGGTTGCTCTGAGCTGACTTGAGCTCTCTTGATTGGGACGCTGCTTCTCTGTTTATGAAAGAACAATGTGAGTAACCGTCACAGTTTTTGTTTTGCTTTGGGCCATTGGTTTGGGGTATTCATAATACTGTTAAAATACTAAATAGAATAAAAAAGGTAACTCTGGTCCAATTATGTTCATTAATTAATAATTTGCCATTGATGTCAACTAATGAAAGTCCTAGTTGGTGTAGAAATGCTCTTAGGGACTGATGTTAGAGATTTTTCAAGGCTCTGGTTCTTGGTGTTTGTGAATGATGTATTTATTTTATTGTTATTAATTGATTTATGACTTATTTACACAAATGGAGAAATGAATGAAGAAAGAGCGACCCAAACATGGACCAATGATGACCACTGGTGGCGTTTGAGTCATGGACGATGAATACTAAGTGTCTGAAACTCTGAGGTCCAATGTAAAACATTTTATCATGAAAATAATCCTATAGGCAACTATTAGAAATATACAAAGGTCATGTCTTTCCTTTGTATTAACAGATTTAGATTTATTATGATGGGTCAATGATAGAACAATTAAAAGTAACCAGATGAAGAAAACAGTGAATCATTGTCCAGCTATAAACATGAATATGGTGGTGATAGCATTTTTTAGTATTATTACTAAAAATTTTCCACACTGATGTCCCTTAAGAAATAGATAGATAATGGGTGTCACTTCTTTGGCTAAGGGTCATATAGACTCTCTTAACTTAAGAGTTCATTTTATTTTTTACATCAGTCTCAAATTCGAAAGGATTTCTTTTGTTAAAAGGATAATATTCCCATTATGAGAAATTATTAAATGCCTAAATGGCTGAAAAAAAGGAAATGCAGAATGGAAGGATCAATAAGATAAGGCCTCTCTTTCTAACCATCTGCTTTCTTTGAATTCTGCAGAATGGATACGCTCAAGGGGACTTACAGTTACCAGATCTTAGCTTGCCTCTGGTAGCCAATATGAGTAATAAAATTCACGTGTTTATATGAGAGTTTTTAAAACAGTATTCATTATGTCATTAAAGTATGGAATGCAATCCAAAAGGCCAACCATGGCCAGGGATACATGTGACAATGGCATGAAGAATTACATCTATGTATATATACATCACACACACATGTATATTACACATCACAGATAATTTGTGAACAATACATCAAACTGACAAATGCTTCTCTAGTCATGGGTAGAATATCCAGTGCTCTTATTCTTTGGTTATTTTGGTTTGCAGGAATTATAAAATTAGTATTAGTGCTGATACATTAGTGAATTAATGAAGGAATAGGTATAGATGAGAATTAGGTAAAAATGTCCCAGGCATAGACGATGTTGTCACATAGCAGTTGTGCTTGGGTGATTCCTAACTTGTGTCTGGACCTCTGATGTTCAATACAGAAGGAAATTGAGTTATCGCCTCTGTTTGCAGTGATCTTATATGGATTGGGAGAATGCAAAAGGACCATTTTCTTGGCTTATTTTTTTGAATTTTGATCCTTTTATTGTAAGTGTATTGATGTAAGAATCAATGTGCAAATACATAAAAAGTAAAGATAAGTGTGTAGCTTTTCTACTCTTATTAGACACAAAAAAAGCCATCAAAATGTACTGAAGATACTGAATCCCATTAAAAAATACATTGCTGGAGTGTCTTTCTTCTTTGATTAAGGTTCATGGAGATGGTCCACATTCTTATTCTGGGTCAGAACAAGGAGAATGATACCAATTTTTTAAAGAGAAGATGAAGGGTTACTGCAAATTCACATCTACCCGAGTGACTGAAAGGTGAAGTGAATGGATCAGCAGAGAGTCCATCTTGTTACCATCTGCCCTCCTGTGTATTCCTCAGCATGGCCACCCTGACTGACTGAGTGATTTGGCTGGGACCAGGAAGAAACTCCATGATCACCCCTGTGCACATGGTCCATTGTGAGTATTCTTGGTGGCAAAAAATTAATAAGCAATGTAGAAATGAATGGAAAAGAAGAGGAGCAATCCTGAATCGATGACTACTGGTGATGTCTGAGTTGTGTACGATGAATATGTATCTGGAACTTTGAGGTCCAGAATCAGCAGCAATCTGTTATCCATTTCTTCGACTTGAAAGGGCCATCTAGACAGCCGTTACAGAATACAGGGACCTTGTTTTCTTGTTGAATGACAGCCGTTACAGAATACAGGGACCTTGTTTGCTTGTTGAATTCATGACTTTTTTTTTTTTTTAAGAATTATTTTATTTAACTTTATTTATTATTTATTCATTTGTTTATTTCAGTTTGACCAGAGAGGGACAGAGAGAGAGAGAAAAAGTGAGAAAGCAAGCCACCAGGTCCAGGACTCGAACCACGGTCAGCCATGTGGGAATCCAGCACCTTTAACCACCATGCCACCTGCCAGCTCCATGACTTTTTAAAAAATATTCAATTTAATTTATTATTATTATCTTATAATTTGACCAGAGAGGGAGAGAAAGGGAAAGTGAGAAAGCAAGCCACCAGGTCCAGGACTCGAACCACGGTCAGCCATGTGGGAATCCAGCACCTTTAACCACCATGCCACTTGCCAGCCCTTACATAAAAAGTAAACTTTTTTTTTCAAAAATTATTTTTATTTTATCATCATCATTATTTCTCAGTTTGCTATAGGGCACATGAGCTCACCAAAGAGAAACAGAAAGAGAAATAGGGAAAGTAAGAAAGCAAGCTGCCAAAGATATCTCCTGGAAGTGATAAATGAATACAGTAAAGTGGCAGAATACAAAATTAACATAGAAAAATCTACAGCATTTTTATACACTGACAGTGAACAGACTGAGGCAGAGTTGAAGAAAGCATTCCCATTTACAATATTCACATACACACATATACAAATAAGATACCTAGGAATAAACCTAACCAAACAAATGGAAGACCTCTACAAGGAAAACTATGGAAAACTTTAAAAAAAAAATCGAAAATGATATAAAAAGGAGAAAGACATCCTCTGTTCCTGGACTGGAAGAATTAATATAATCAAAATGTCTCAAGTTTTTAAGTCAGCTGGTTTACTTTGTACTCTGTTGAATATATGCACTGAAGTGAACTTAAAGACACTGTCATAATAGCGAGCTATGGAACTGCCTCTGTGCATGTGCACAGAGACCTTCTGAGTAATAGTCGATATTCTGGTCTTGGATTGAGTGTTTTTTTTTTTAATAATTATTTATTTAATTTTATTTATTCATTCATTTATTTTAACTTGACCACACACACACACACACACACACACACACAGAGCAAGAGAGAGAGAGAGAACTAGTGAGCGAGAGAACATGAGAAAGCAAGTCGCTGGGTCTGGTACTTGAACCGTTGTTGGCCATGTGGGAGAGGGTCCAGCGCCCCAACCACCATGCCACCTGCTGGTCCTAGATTGAGTGTTTTTAAAGAGGTAGTGCTGTATGTGGGTTAGAACCAGGTAAGGGCAACCATAGCCAGATCTTAAAAACAGTGTTGATATGATGTGTTGTGCTGATTTATCTGTATGTAAAACAGTAAGGTCCATTAATAAAAGTGATCTAGGGTCAAAAGGTAATAATTTTATAGGCAGATGGTAGAGATCTTGTTTTTGCGACTCTCTGGTATTTATTCTTATTAGTGAACTGATGAATTAAACAATCACCAAGTGCTGACATGAATGGAGAAACAGATGTAGACCAGGGGTGAAGACTGGCAACATGTGAGTTATGGCCAGTGCAAGCTCGTGTCTAGAACTCTCAGCTTCATCATGAAAAATAATGAGTTTGTGCACTCTGTTGGGTACAAACATTCAGAATATCAAAGATTTTACTGTGCTTCATGACTTTTTATTGTGTTTTCTTAAATTCATAATGCATTAATAACTGAGCCAAGGAATGAATAAATGAGAAGTCAAACCACACATGGACAAACTATGTCATCTATAATGTTGCCCTAGCCTAGAAAAAATTCTTGGATTTTGCTGCTTGTTTGAAGATCAGGTAGGCATAGAAATAGCATGTCTTTTCTAGATTTCTGGGGTTATAAATATTGTTAGGTTTCTTGAAAAAGAATAGGTAGTTAGAAAAATTAATCTACTCATGATATTTCTTTCATTCACACTAAAATAAATGCATTAATAAAGAAGTTAAGGTCAAGAACTGATCACTCTTCTTTTTTTTTTTGGAGAGATTTTCACTGTAGGGCGCGTGCACTCGCCAGACAGACAGAGAGAGACATAGAGACAGAAAGCGAGAAATCACCCTCCAGGGGGGATGGTCACGCCGCAATCCCTTCTCCTCCATTCTCCTCTCGGGATCTTGGGCACGCACGCACACGCGCCCGGCGTGAGTTTTAAGCCACTGGGTCCAGGAGGCGAACTGCGGCTGACTACGTGGGAGTCCAGCAACATAGCCATTACGCTAACTGCTGGTTCCCAAGAACTGATCACTCTTAACAAGATGCCATGAATTGAGGAATGAGATGAATTCAGTTCAGTTCAGTTTATTTTAAGTATGTGCTGATAGGCTTGCACGCACACCCACCTGGGTGTTCTTTCAAGCTGCCAGGTCCAGGATTCAAAGTGCAGAGCCAGCTCTATAGTGTCCAGCTCTCTGCATCTTTATTCCTTCATGCAACACTTCTTCATCCTACCCTTGACTTTTTTACAATAATATTTTTAAAAATTATGAACATAGTGATCAGAGCAAGATCCTTGTATATCCTGACATTTGTCCATAAGATCCTTTCACAAATGGGGCAATGGGCCAGTCAGTGGCGTGATGACTGAGGTGGCTGGATCCCACAGGGCTGACTATGCAGTTCAAGTCCAGGACCCTGTGGCTTGAGAAACATGCTGTGTGTGTGTGTGTGCGTATGCCTATAAATGGAAGAGAAAGAACTGTGGCATGACCGTGCCCATAAAGGGTGCCTTCTCACTTTCCCTCTCTTCTCTCTCTCTTTCTTCCTTTCTCTGGCAAGTGTATATGCCCCATGGCAAAAACTTTTCAAAAAAATAAAAATAAAAAACAGGGGAATGTTACTCATTGTATATGACTCATATACCTCTGACCAACATCATTGATCCAGGACTGGCCCTCTTTCTCTACTTTCATCTGTGTTTATTTATTGATTTAGTCATTAATAAATATACACAAATCTCAAAAAACATGAGATTCTTGAATGTTCCTAATATCCATATATATAATTATTGACCCAAAGATGAAACTTTTTGTTAACTATACTCAATGTTTTATCTATGGATTAATCAATCTAATGCTTTAAATTAATCTGATATTTAGCATTGGTATGTTTAGCCTTATTACATTTAATACTTTTTTGACACAATAACAAATGCCTCTTTAAAGAACAATCTTAACAAGAGCACTGTCGCTCACGTTGGCCTTTGTGCTCCAAACACACAGATGAAACGACAGGGCTTCAGGACCACAGAAGAAATGTGCAAATCGGCTGAAGAGCAGGCCTTCGGAGGACTGCAGAGCAGGCAGATCACAAGGTAATGAGACAGTCCTGCTGATTTCTGCTTAGATCTTTCCACTCATCAATCATCCAGGAAGTCATTATTTATAGTATATGTACTTCATTTTCTCTCTAAAAAAAAAGAACATTTGGCAACTTTCTGTATCCCAGATGTTGAAAATCACTTATACTACCAACATCACCCACAGCCAAAGAGGTTACAAAGAGGTAATGCTTATTTCTCTTGGGACTTCAGAGTTTCTAACACATAATATAATGGTATATTTTGCTCCACCACTTACTGAGTAACTGGACAATGGTTCATCTCCTGCTCATGCACATGTTTACAAATTATTTCATTGGTCCCACTCTAATAACAGAATAAAAATGAATGAACACAAAAGCCACACACATATATTATACGCTCCAGAAATCTGTTTATAAACAGAAGGAACGGGCCAGATACTCTCCTGTGATGGACTTCAGAGTTCCAGACACACGTGCATCATATGTAACTCATACGTAACCAGTAGTCATCATCAATCCAGGACGGTCCTTTATTCCCTTCTACCTGCATTCATTTCTACCTGTATTTGATTAATACATTACTTCACTAACAACAACTTTTTAAAAAGAATTATTTAATTTTATTTATTATTATTATTTTTTTACTTGACCAGGGAGAGAGAGAGATGGAAAGTGAGAAAGCAAGCTGCCAGGCCCAGGCCATCACGCCACTGACTAGCCCATTGCCCTATTTTTGAAAGGATCTTATGGACAGATGTCAGGATATACAAGGATCTTGTTCTGATCGCTATGTCAGTAATTTTAAAAAATGTTATTGTAAAAAATCAAGGGCAGGATGAAGAAGTGTTGCATAAATAAAGATGCAGAGAGATAAGTATCATCTATTGTCATCTGTATTGATCACTGAAACATCTTTAAAGAAAATGGATAATACATGGATCAAATTTATGGCATCTTTTACTAAGGACAATACAGACAATGATAGGTAATAGTTATTCTCAGTCTGTTGCAACTTTAGAGTTTATTTGATTAAGGAAAATAATAATGATCAAATGACTATTCAAATTAATGGCAGAATATATGTTTAAATTAAGAAGATTTTATTGATGTTTTTATCTTCTAAATGGATTCTCTTCAGAATGGATACACTGAGTTAAGATGCCCACCTTGATCAAGATTTGTTAGGTTGCCTCTGGATTATGAAAGAGACTAAGGTGAGTAACAGTCAAAGTTCTTGTTTGGGTTATGGTGATGTATTTAAGGATGCTTACTGTACTATTGAAAAATGTGAAATACAGAAAATAGGGCCAAATGTGACAAATATGGGATTGCTATGAGACATCGTATTGATTAATACATGTATGAAGAACTAAGGATAATTTTTTTGAGAGATTTTTTTGCTATAGGTTGCATGCACTCGCCAGAAAGACAGACAGAGACGGAGAGATAGAAGGTGAAAAATCACCCCACAGGAGGGATGGCCACACCACAATCCCTTCTCCTCCATTCTCTTCTTGGGATCTTGAGCACGCATGCACGCACACACACACGGTGTGAGTTTAAGTCACTGGGTTCAGGACTCGAACCATGGATGACTACATGGGAGTCCAGTGACATAGCCGTTACGCCAACTGCTGGTCCCTGAGGATAATTATTAAAAAAAATATATTGATGTCATAATGACTTACGTTGCATAAAAAGGGTCTTCAAAAAGGTCATAGAAAATGTGTATTATAACACACTGTGCACAGATTACAACTTTTTAGTGCACCAAAATAAACTCATACTTAAATTCAATTTTCCTGTGAACTTTTTTGTTTGTTTTAGGTTTTTGTCATTGGGCACATGTACTTATCAGAGGGAAAGTGAGAAATCACTACCCCCCTCCCGGGGGAGATGGCTTTGGGGTTTGGGGCATGTACATGCAAGTGGCCAGAGTGATTTTCAAGCCTCTGGGTCTAGAGCTCAAATCATGGTCAACCATGTGGGAGTCCAGCACCTTGACCACCATGCCACCTGCTGGCCCTTCCAGTGAACTTTTTGAATTTTCTTTGTATATTAATAATATCAAGGCTTTACCTGAGTTTTGTGAGTCACAGGCTTTTACAGTTGTGATTAGTAGGTAAATGGAGTAGTCAGTCAGTAGACAATGCAGAACTGACTGAAGAGACCAAAGCCCTTCAAAGATCTACAAATAGAACTACCATTTGATCCAGCAATCCCACTTCTGGGTATTTACCCAAAAGACAGGAGAACGCTCAGTCAGAAAAGTGCTTGCACATCCATGTTTAGTGCAGCATTATTCACAATTGCCAAGACATGGAACCAACCTAAATGTCCACAAACTGATGAATGGATTGAAAAAGTGTGGTATATATACTCTATGGAATACTATTCAGCCATAAAAAATAACAAGACCCTGGAATTTGATAGAAAATGGTCAGATATGGAGGATCTATTGCTGAGTGAAGTAAGCCAGGCTATGAAAGAAAGATATTGTATGTATCCACTCAATATGTACCGACTATCCGCACTCTATAATAGAGAGCAAAAAATCGGAGGACATAAAAACAGTGAAGGTACTTAATGAGAATAGGACAGTGTGGAATGGGGTAAGTGAAGAGAAGAGGATAGAGAAAGATAGCAAGTGAACAATAGAGAGACAGGACGTTAGTGAGAAACAGATAGGGCTTATCAACTGTTGATGATGACATGTATAGTATTCTCAACTGGATTGGTCTGAGAAGTATTTCATGATGGGCAAAGTATTTTTACAAGCAAAATGAGAAATAGCAATTGATTGTTTTATAAAAATAATTAGAATAATAAAAATAATGATTGGGGAAAACAGAAAAGATATGGAATGTTAAAGTGGGGAGATTAATGTCTCTGTACTGACTGACATGCATGGCATTCCCTTTTGAAAAAACAATGTAATACACTGTAAAGTTATATGTAATCCAATGTAATATAAAGAAGATTATGATGATAATAAAAAATAAATAAAGAAAGAAAGAAAGAAAGAAAGAAAAAAAAAAGAAAAAAAAAAGAGACCAAAGCCCTTTAGTGGCCAAAGGTGACCACTGCTAGCATATGAGTCTTGGAGGATGAATAGTACGTGTCTGGATCTCTGAGGTCCAATGCAAAAGAAATCATGTTCTTCCATCCATGCATTTTATCCCATTATTGTAATTGGATTAATGGACATCGATTAACTAATACATAAATAAAAATGATCGGTTTGAAGCACCATCCTATTATAAATATGTGCTATGACAAGAAACATTATTAAAGTATGTTGAAAACTCTAAAGTCCAAAGAGAATTAAATGGTGGCTGCTTGTCACCCCTTTAGTTAAGTATGATGTAGATAGTATTATGTAAATATCAGTGTTTATCTTCTGGGTCAATAGCAAGATGGCTACTGTTAGTGCATGTAAGAGATAATAAAATAAACATCCAGAATTACTAATTACATATGACTGACCAAATGAAGGGGAGTTTTGGATCAATGGAGATAATGTTATGACCTTTTTTTAATCATCTGTTCTCTGTAATCCTCAGAATGAATGCTTTCCAAGCTGGTTTACTCATTGTTCCTGGTCTTGAAGCTCTGTGGTTACATCTAAGTGTTAGGAGCAGGAAGACCAATGTGAGTAATAGTCAGTGTTCTTGTATTGAATTGAACAATTTTCTGTTTCTTTTTTTTCTACATTTTTAAACATTCACATTTAATCATTGTACCTTTTTACAGCATATGATATGGATTCTCAAATACTTTACTGAATGCAATACACCTTTCCATTCTGTGTCTGTTAAATGTACCCTTTTTTCTCTTTGAGTTTTTCTCCTTGAGTTTCTCTCCCCTACTCCCAAGTGTCTACCCACTCCTATACGGTCTGTGGTATCTACTCTTGCTGTTTCTACTATTATATTTTCCATTCTTTCAGTTTCTATTGTTAAGTGTAGACATGCAAAGTGCAGATATAATATGTATTGTGTGGGGATATACAAAGTCTGTCTTTCATAGTCTTGAGTTGCTTTGCTTATTATTAAATCTTCTATATTTACCCACTTTGTGTCAGATAACAGTGTCTCATTTTTTTTATGACTGAGTTTTATTCTATAGTGTATATGTGCCACATTTTTTCAATCCAGTCAATTACAGTTATAATTTTAGCAATTGTAAATAATGCTTCAATAAACATGGATGTGCAATTGCCTTTCTGACTGTTTTCTTGTCCTTAGGATAAATACCCAGGAGTGGAATTACTGGGTTGGATGGAAGTTCTATTTTTACATCCTTGAGGATCCTCCATATTGTTCCACAGTGACTGTACTAATCTTCATTCCCACCAGCAGTGTGGGAGTGTTCCCCTTTCACCACAGCCTCACCAGCATCATTTTTTTTTTTATCAGAGCCATTCTGATGGGACTAAATGGTATTTCATTGTGGTTTTTATTTGCATTTCTCTTATGAGAAGAGACATTGAGCATTTTTCCATATGTCATTGGCCATTTATGTGTCTTCCTTGGAAATTTGTCTGTTTGACTTGTTTGCCCACTTTTTCATTGGATTTTTAATTTGTTTTGTGGGTAAGCTGCTTCAATTCCCTGTATATTCTGGTTATCAATCCCTTATCTGAAGGATAGTTTGCAAATATCCACTCCCATTCTGAAGCTTGTCTCTTCACTCTGTTTATTGTGTCCTTTGCTGTGCTGAGATTTTAGCTTGGTGTAATCCCACTTGTCTATTTTGGGGATTATTGCCTGTGCTTTAGGGGTCTTATTTAAGAAGTTTTTGCCCAATCCAATGTCTTTGGGAGTTTTCCCAAAGTTTTCTAGCAGTAGTTTTATAGTTTGAGGTTTTATATTTAAATCTTTGATCATTTTGAGTTGATTCTTATTAATGGCAAATGTAGGGGTCTAGTTTCATTTTTTTGCAGGTGGATATCCAGTTCTTCCAGCACCATTTTCTGAAAAGACTTTCTTTTATTCACTGCATTGTCTTTTATCCTTGTAAAAGATGAGTTAACTGTATGATTTGGGATTTATTCTGTATTTTCTTTTCTGTTCCATTGGTCTATGGTTTGTTTTTGTGCCAGTACCATGCTGTTTTGATTATCACCACTTTGGAGTATATTCCAAATTCAGGTAGTGAACTGCCTCCTATTTTGTACTTTTTGCAGAATGTTGCCTTGGTGATATGGGGTCTTTAATGAGTCCAGACAAATGTATGATTTTTTTTCTACTTCTGTGATGAATGTCTCTGGCAATTTTATTGGAATTGCATTTAATTTTTGTGTTAATTTGAATAGAATTGACATTTTGATTATATCAGTTCTTCTGATCCAAAAATATGAAATGTCTTTCCTTTTTTTTTTATCATGCTCAATTTCTTTTTTTCAGTTTTTCATAGTTTTTCTTGTAGAGGTGTTTTACTTATTTGGTTACATTAATTTCTACATATCTTATTTATTTTATATGAGAATTCGTTCTTTAATTCTATTCATTGTTGGTGTGAAAAATGCTATAGACATTTTATGTTGACTTTGTATCCTGACACTTTACTAAATTCATTTATCACTTCCAGACGCTTTTACATAGATTCCTTTAGATTTTTCCATGTGTGTAATCATATTATCTGCAAATAGGGATAGTTTAGCACCTTAATTTTCTGTCTGGATGCCTTTTATTTTGCTTTTTTGTCTAAACTGTATTGGCTAGGACTTTCAGCACTATGTTGAAAAAGAGCGAAGGAAGTGGGTAACCTTGTTGTGTTCCAGTTTTTAGTTTGAAAGCTATCAGCTTTTCCACATTCAGTGTGATGTGAGCATTGGGTCTGTCGCATATGGCTTTTATTGTGTTGTGGACTGTCCCTTTTATCCCCATTTTGCTGAGGATCTTGACTATGAAGGGTGATGTATTTTATTACATGCTTTTTCTGCATTTGAACATACAGTTTTTAATCTTTTTTATGTTAATGTGATATATTTATTTTTTTGCATATATTGAACCATCCTTGCATCCCTGGGATAAAGCCTACCTGGTCATGATATACAATTTTCTTAACGTGCTATTGGACTTGGCTTGCTAGTATCTTGTCAAGAATTTTTGCATCAGTATTCATTAGGACATCTAAATATGTAAAAGAAAGATTGCTAGATTTAAAGGAATACATAGATTGCAATACATTAATTGTTGGGGATTTCAACACCCCTGAATAGGTCATCTAGAGAAAAAATAAACATATAACACAGGAACTGAATGCTACTATAAACCAAATGGACCTGACAGATACATATAGATCATTTCACCCAGTAACTACAAAATACATTTTTTTCTATCTCCACCTGGAACATTTTCAAATATTGACCACGTAATAGGCCTCAAAACAAGCCTTTACAAATTCTGAAGTATAGAAATTATACCCAGCATCTTCTCTGACCACTATGGAATTAAACTTTTAAGTCAATTACAGTAATAATCCTCAAAAATTCATAAAATCATGGAAACTAAACAACCTACTCCTGAACAACTTTCAAATACTAAGAAATTAAGAATAATTTTATAAGAAAAGATTTATTGAAACAATGATGAACACACAACTCTATAATTTTTGGGACACAACAAAAGCAATTATAAGAGGGAGATTCATAGCCATAGTGCTCACAGGAAAAAAAAAAACAGAAAGATGCAAATAAATAACATTACTTCTCCAGAACTATAAAGGCAACAACAACAACAACAACCCAAAAATAACAGAAGAAAAGAAATGGTGAAGATTAGAGTGGAAATAAATGAAATAGAGAATAAAAGAACTATATCAAAGAAATCAATAAAATGAAAAGGTGGTGTTTTGAGAGGATAAAATGAAGATGACAAATCATTAGCTAGACTAGTCAACAAAAACAGAGAAAGAAGCCAGTATAATAGATAAAACCAGTAATGAAGTTGATAAAATTGCAACCTATATATCAGAAATACAAAAAATTGTGGGAGAATACTCCAAGCAACTCTATGCCAACAAACTATTATAAAAAAACCTAGATGAGATGGACAAATTTCTGGACATGTACAAGTTACCTAGGCAGAATCAGAATGAAATAGAAAGCCTGAATAGACCAGTGACAAATGAGATTGAATCAGAAATAAATGGTCTCCCAACAAAGAAAAGCACAGTCCAGATGGCTTCACTTCTGAATTCAACAAAACTTTTAAAGGGTTAACCTCAGTTTTCCTCAAACTACTTCTAAAGATCCAAAAGGAAAGAACCCTCCCAAATTCATTTTATAAAGCCTCCATAATCTTGAAACTGAAACCAGACAAAGACATGATAGAAAAAGAAAACTCCAGACCAATATCCCTGATGAATACTGATGCAAAAGTACTAGTGGTTTTCAAAGTTTTCATGGGAAATCGAAAAATGCATATCATGAAAAAGTATGTATGGATTCAATTTTTTTAAAACAGAAAACTACACTGGTACTTTAGTACCATTTTCCACACAGTTTTAGAAGTACCTTTATACATATACAGTGAAAAAAAGTAATAAATACCTAAATGAGGAAATTAAATGTAGAAAACAAGATTCAAGAATCAGTGAAAATGAGGTCTTAATTTTTTTTTAATCATCTGTTCTGCATTGTACTCTCAGAATGGACTCACTTGGGCTCTTTTCAACATTCTTCCACTGTTCAGAAGCTCTACGGTCACCTTAAATGTTAACACAGAAATGAATGTGAGTAATAGTTAAAGTTCTTTTCCTGGTTTAATTGTGTGTGTTTTGTCTTAAGATTATTCACTATGTTATTAAAAAGTGTGAAATATAATTAATGGGCACTATGACAGTTCATTGGTAAGTGTGGGATATATGAAACGTTGTGCCAAATTATATATATATAAAATAGTTCATGAAAGTGGTTCACTGATGTGAGAATAATTTTATATACAGGTTAGGTATATAAAGACTTTTTAAAGTTTTTGTGAATTGTTATTTTTGTGATTTAATGAATTAATCAATAGACCTGTGCAGATGACAATAGAGAAAGAAGGTCAATTCTGGATTGATGATGACTACTGGTAGTGTATGAGTCATGTCATGTACGATGAATATGTGTCTGGAACTCTGAGGTCCAATGGGAAAGAAATGCAATCCATTTCCTCTTGTTGAAGTGACCTTATAGACAAATGTCAGGAATAACTGAGAATCTCAGCTCTTGGTGTCCATGCATTTCTACTCTTTTATTTTAGTTGGATCAAATGAAAGAATCAATAAATATATAAATGCATAAACACAAATGAGATAAAACATTGCTCAATTATAGAAATATTTGATGGGTCAAGAAAAATGTCAAAATATTATGGCAACCCTGGGTCTATTTTTATTTTTTTAGAGGGATTTTTGCTATAGGGCTCGTGTGCTTGCCAGACAGACAGACAGAGAGATGGAAAGCAAGAAATCACCTTCTCCCCTAGGAGGGATGGCCAGACTGCAGTCTTTTTCCTCCATTCTCTTCTTGGGGTTTTGGGCACCCACACACATGTACCTGGTGTGGATTTTAAGCTCCTGGGTCTGGGACTGGAACTGCAGTCAACTATATGGGAGTCCTGTGATGTAACCATTACTCCATCTGCTGGTCCCACCCCTGGATCTATTTTAAGTAAATGTTACATGAATGTTACCCCTGGGGCAAAGGATGACATAGACAGCATAGGTTATAGTGTCCATATTCTGCATTGGAAATTAGTCTGAAGCTCATTTTGTAAGACAAAAAATATGTTTGACAAATTAATTACCTAAATGACTGACTAAATGAAAGGTGAAAAGCAAGGACCAAAGGACAGAATATGTCATTTAAAAAAGCATTTTTTGTGATTTGTATTCCTCAGAATGGATTCAGTTAAACTGATTTAAAGATCATTCCATAATAAGAAGCTCTTCGAAGCATCTCTTTGTTAGGATCCTAGAGAGCAATATGAGTAATAGCCAAAGTTCTGGTTTTGTTTTGGGTGGTTTGTTTAAAGGTATTCACTGTGTTATTAAAAAGTATGAAATAGGGAACCAGCAGTTAGCGTAATGGCTATGTCGCTGGACTCCCACGTAGTTGACCGCGGTTCGTGTCCCGGACCCGGTGGCTTAAAACTCACGCCGGGCGCGTGTGCGGGCGTGCCCAAGATCCCGAGAGGAGAATGGAGGAGAAGGGATTGCGGCATGACCATCCCCCCTGGGGGGTGATTTCTCGCTTTCTGTCTCTATGTCTCTCTCTGTCTGTCTGGCGAGCACACGCGCCCTACAGTGAAAATCTCTCCAAAAAAAAAAAAAAGTATGAAATACAGGGGCCAGCAAGTGGCATGGTGGTTGAGGCACTGGACTCCCACTTGACTCACCATAGTTCAAGTCCAGAACCTGGCAGCTTGCTTTCTCACTCTCCCTTTCTCTTTGTCTGTCTCCCTCTGGTTGAAATTGAGGAATAATGATCATAAATAAAAATTAAAAGTAAATCATTAATAAAAAGTATGAAATATAAACCAAGAAATGAACTGTAGTCTAGTAATAAATAGGGTATTAATCTGAAAGGTTATCTTAATATATATATATAAAATACTAAGAATAATTAATAAAAGAAATATATAGAACTGAGAATGATTCTAGATATACATGAGGGATATTATTTCTTGAATCATAAAGTTTTAAAATTACAATTACCGAATTAGTCAGTTAATCAATAAATGATTTAGGAATGGATAAGTGAAGGTTTGCCACACCTGGACCAATGATGACAACTGCTGGTGTATGAGTCTTGGATGATGAATCGCACTTGTCTGGAACGCTGAGGTACATCACAAAAGAAGTGCGGCCATTCTTGTCTTGTACTTTCATTCTCTTATTATAATTGAATCCATGAAAGAATCAATGAACAAATATATAAATAAAACAGGCAAAGCATTGTCCAAGTGTAGAAATATGTGGTAAGGAAAGAAATACTATTCATACATGTTGAAATCGTGAAATCCGATGAGAAATTAATGATGCATGTTTTTGGCTAATGTTGATGCAAACAATGCAAATTATATACAATATTCATGTTCTGGGTTGGTGACAAGTTCAAAGTTATTTTCTTAAAAGAAATGAAATAACATGCTCCAAATTAGTGATTGTCTAAGTGACTAAGAGAATCAGTGATGCAAAGCAGTGACCAATGGACATAAGGTCTCCAATTTTTTATCAACAGCTCTACTTTGTACCTTAAAATGGACTCACTTGAGATGATTTGAACATTTTCCCATGACCATGTTCTGTGTGGTTGCAACTGTGTTAGGAGCTTGAGGACCAACGTAAGTAGTAAAGCTTTTGTATTGGTTTGAGTGTTTCCTCGAAGAACAGTCACTGTAGAATTAAAAATTGCATAATATAGTAAAATAAAGCCAACTGTACTCCATGACAATTATAGATTTGATATGAACTACTCTACTTATTAATTCATTTATGAAAACTGAATACATTTAATAAAGGAGACATATTGATTTGAAAACGATTTTATAGATCTATTCAGAATATTAAGGCCTTTCTTGGGTTATGTGAGTCATAGTACATTATATTTATCATTAGTGAATACTGAATTAATTAACAAACAATGTTTAAATAAATTTTTTAAAAGGTGAGCCATTCCTGGACCAAATAACGCTAACTGATGTGTAAGTCAAGAAAATGCATAATTTGTGTCTGAAGCTCTGAGGTCAGATATAAAAGAATTACTTTTTATCCCCTGTGTTTGGATAGATACTTGTAGGGGCCAGCAGGTGGCATGGTGATTAAGGTGCTAGACTTTCATATTGCCAACTGTAGTTCAGGTCCCAGATCTGGTGGCTTTAATATCATGTTGGGTGCATGTGGATCCATGCTCAAAATCCCAAGGGGAGAGTGGAGGAGAATGGATTGTGACATGGCCATCCCTCCTTGGTCAGGGGTGATTTCTCTATCTCTCTCTCTGGCAAATGTACACACCCTAGGGAAAAAAGAAAAAGAAGAGATTCTGTAGACAGATATTGGGAATTTTCTAAGATATTGTTTGTGGCCTTTTGTTTCATGCATATAGACAGAATAAATTACTAGATATCTTTGCTATTGGCATGTTCAAAATTGTTTCCTTCCTTCCTTCCTTCCTTCCTTCCTTCCTTCCTTCCTTCCTTCCTTCCTTCCTTCCCTTCTTTCATTCTTTTCAGATTTTTGCCATAGGGTACATGTATTACTGGTGAGAGACAGAGACAGGGAAAAGTGAGAGATCACTCCCTTGGTGGGGGAGCCACTCTGTCATCCTTTCTCTTCCATTCTTCTGTTGGGATTTTGGGCACACATGCATACATACTGGATGTTTTTCAAACTGCTGGATTCAGGTCTCAAACCATGGGATTCAGCACCTTAGCCATCATGCCATCTGCAGGCCCAAAGTTTGCTTTCTTAAGAGAACATGAAATGAACATATTCCAAATAATGATTATGTAAGTGACTGACACTGAAAAGTGAAAAGCAAGAATCAATGGAGGAATGTTTCAATTTTTTTTTTAACCACTTATTCTGCTTTGTACTCTTCAGATTGTACTCGCTTGGGCTGCATTAGCACCTTCCTGGTCACGTGCTCAATGCCAGCCCTGAGCGTTAGGGGCCTGCGGGCAGCGTGTGTGTGCAGCTCTCTGCCTCTGCTTTAACTGCCCCTGAAGTCCATCCCTGGAATACGGAGAGATCTTGGTTTTGGCCTTTGTGTTCATGAGCTTTTAAAAATAAAATGATAAAGAATCTATAGTGAAATAAATCCACAGATATATAATAAATAAAGATGAAGATGGGGAAACATGTTCATTTTAAAACTAATAGTAAGGAAAAATAATACAAAGTAAAGGAGCAATAATGGAGAAAGTGTATTTCATCAAGTTCATTTTTTTCTTTGACTAAAGATATTGGAAAGTTAGAAGTGATAGTTTTTGAGCTTTTAAAGAAAGAGAGAAAAGGAAAGAAAGAAAGCAACCCACCAGGTCTTGGACTCAAACTGCGGTCAGCCATGTGGGAGTCCAGCACCTGCCGGTCCCCATAATTTTTTTTATCTTAGTCACACATTTGATGTTTGCTTTATTAAGAGAAAAATAAATTTTACCATATTTGTGTACATACTTGAATGATGATATAAATGAATGAGAGAGTTGATTGATCTATGGGGAGAATGCCCAAGACTTTAATCACCCTCAGAATGAGAATACCTGTGCTGACTTTAGGATTCTCCTAGAGCTAGGAGCCCTGTGCTTGCATCTGTGTAGGAGCATAGAGACCGAAATGAGTAATAGTCAAACTGTTTTTGGGGTGTAATTTGCAGAAGGCCAACCATGCTCATATTTAACATCACATTGATATTCCATTAGTTAATACGTAACTGAAAGACTAAGTGAAGTTCATGAAAGGATTTTAGACTCTCTGTAAATGATAGGATAGATAAACGTTGTTTTTGTGATTAATGTGTATTTAATTAATTAATAAACAAGCACAGATAGGAATGAAGAGGAAGAAGTCTGTTCCTGGGCCATCGGTGACTCTTGGTGGTGTATTTGACAGTTCTGTATGGTAAGTCTGTATCTGGGAGACGAGTGGGAGTGCAGGTGGTGGTCTGAGGAGCCATTGCCAAGCTGGGCACCAGGGAGATGGTCAAGACTCATCATTTGGTTTGCGCCCAAAACAGGACCTGACCTCAGTGGTGCAGACTGTCTTGCAACAGATGCAAAATCAGTTTCAGACCATGTTAGACGAGATCATTGGAAGAAGCGATGATAGGAGCAGCTGCATTGCTGATCTGGAGAATAACGTCGCTGGCCTCATGGTACAGGCTAAGGTGGAATAACTGATGGGGAAAGCAAGACGCTGCCTCATGGGTGAGCTGAAGGTGCTGAAAATGGACACTGAAATCTGGAACACCGTTTCTCCAAGCCAGATGAACAGGTAACTTTCTGATCTAGCCTCTATATGTAGACAGGTTTTTCTATTATAAAGTGTGCATTCTTACCACATACCATATGGTTAGAGTGTGCCCCTGCCCTGCCCCGGTTTCTTGAACATGTTATTTTCACACTTTGGACCTTGGTCAGTTGTGCCATTAACTATTAAACACTAAAACATTGGCAGTTCCTGCATAAAAAGAAGAAAAAAAAAAGAATATGTGTCTGAAATGTTGAGGTCCGACAAATAAAACCTAGTCTATTCCCTAGTCCCATATTACGATGCTAATGAACACACATATCAGAAATACATATGGATCATGTTTTGATCTTGTGCTTGTGCATTTAAAAATATGATAAAAGCATGAGTGGCAGAATAAATATATGAATTAAGAAATGAACAGAAATGAAAACGGCAAAGAATTGTTCATTGCTAAAATATGTAGTAAGGAAAAATACTATTAATATACATTGGGATGGATGATAGATGGACCATGTTAATATTGTTTTTGACTAAATATTATAATATTATATTATTATTGCTTAATAATAATTAATAGTTATTGCCCTGAATCAGTTACAAATTTGAAGTTTGTAAAAGAAATATGCCAATTTCTGTTAAAGATATTTTATGGTTTCGTCAACCGGACTAGGGAGAAATGTTCACATGTTAAAGTATTAGTATTGTAAGCTAAATAATGTGATTGACTGTATAAAAGAAAATGAAATTTAAAAAATAAATTAAAAAAAAGAAAAAAAAAACAGTGTCATTGACAGGCATTGTATAACATGTCAATAGTATATTCTAAACTTTTTGAAAACAAAAAGACAAATTCTCTGAATCAAAACAAAAGAAAGGGGACCAGCAGTTAGTGTAATGGCTATGTTGCTGGACTCCCATGTAGTCGACCGCTGTTCGCACCCTGGACCTGGTGGCTTAAAACTCACGCCAGGCACATGTGCATGCGTGCCCAAGATCCCGAGAGGAGAATGGAGGAGAAGGGATTGCGGTGTGGCCATCCCCCTGAGGAATGATTTCTCGCTTTCTGTCTCTCTGTCTCTCTCTGTCTGTCTGGCGAGTGCATGTGCCCTATGGCAAAAAAACCTCTCCAAAAAAAAAAAAAAAAGGAAGGAAAACAAATATTACTATGAGTTAATAAATATCTAAATGAGGGACCCACAGATGGCATGATAGTTACGTTGCTGGTCTCCCTCTTAGTTGACTGTGGTTTGAATCCTGGACCCGGTGACTTGAAACTCATGCCAGGAGCATGTGCATGTGTCCTCAAGATCCTGAGAGGAGAAGGGATTACACCGTGGCCAGGAGATGATTTTTTGTTTTCTGTCTCTCTGTCTCTCTCTCTGTCTCTCTGACGACTACATGGGCCCTATAGCAAAAATCTCTCTCTAAATACATACATACATACATACCTAAATGATAGTTAAATGAAGGATAGAAATTATGAATCAATGGACAGAACGTCTCAATGTTTTGATTATCACCTCCACTTAGTACTCTTTTGAATAGATTCAATTGAGCTGATTTATACACTCAAGATTCCACCATCAAGATTCTTATTTCACCTCTTTGTTCAGAAAGAGTTCAGTGCGAGTATAGTCAGTAGTCTTGTCTTTGTTGTAATTGTTTATTTAGGATATTCATGGTATTATAAGAAAGTACTTACCCTACCCCTTTAACAGTCCCTAGCCTCCACCCTTCAGGGCCAGTGCAACTCTCTGTGTCTGGCCTTTTTTCTCCCTTGGTAAGGGAATAAACTTTTTGATACACTTTTTCAAGAAAGTATTAACAAAAAATTATCTATGGTTTAATAATAAATGATGTGAAGCCCAGTAACAGTAACGTGTTTTGGTTGATGCTTGTACTCAGCAAGCTGACACCACATAGGAAGCCTAGGTTTGATTCCTGGCTTACCCTAAAACACTGAGCATGGTGGTGATGCCTATAATTCCAGCTACTTGGGAGGATCAGACAGGTGGATCATGATTTAGCAAGACCCTGACTTTAAACAAAAACCGGAAATGATATGACGGAGTATGTCAACCAACCAGTCATGGGCACCTCTGTATATTAGTGATAAAGAGTCTATCTGGGAACTGATGACATTGACAGATGTTAGAATATGCAAGACTTTCCTTCTTGCATTTTTCTGATTAACGTAGTTTATTATTTTCAGTGACTTAATGATTTGTGAGCATGACTGAAGAGAAAATGAGGGAGAGAGTCCACATGGGCTGTGGCTATGACTGATGGCAGATAAGCCCTGGGCTGTGTGGAATGCTGGGGTCCAACGTGAAACTGCTCAGTCTGCCCTTTCACTGCACGTGATCCTTCAGACCCATGTTTGGAATAGTCAAAGATCGTGTTCTGTTCTTTTTTTTTCTTTTTAGTTCTCATGTACTTTATTTACACGTAAACAAGTGGACTAACATTGAAATATTTCCAAACATAACTAAATGTGGGCCAAATATTGAATAGACTATAAAAATATTTCTTTAATACATGGAGGCTTCTGGAAGTTAACTGACACCACTATTCGCTATACATTTCTTCACAATTCATGCTAAATGCACATATTTATTGACCATTGGGATGTCTTCTTTGCAGAAATATCTATGCACATACATTTTCAAGTTTTAATAAGGTCACTGTGTTAATTATAGACTTGTAAAGATCGTGCTCTTATTGTGGATTCATAGATTTAGATTTATTACCATGAATGCATCAATGATAGAACTGCTCAAATAATGTAAGTAAATAGATAAAAAAATTCGTGGGGAAGCATTATCTAACTATGAACATATACTGTGAGGCAAGAAATACTATTAATAAGAATAGGGAAAATTGATGTCCATTAAGAAGAAATTGGGTGAAACTTGTTTTAACTTTGGCTTAGGATCACACAGACATCAGTAAGTTGCAGTTTCATTGTTGTGAACTAGTTTCATCTCTTATTATTGTTAAGAGAAAGAAACATGTATTATGAAAACCTAGTACGTGCTTCAGTAATTGCGTACATGAAATGCATAAAGCAAGAATTGTTGAGGATGAGGACTCCATTTTTTATCTGCTCCTATTTGTTCTCAGAAAGGATGTTCTTGAGCCGAGTGAGCACCTGTCTACAGTCATTAACTCAGTGGTTGCACCTGTTTTTTAGCACTAGCGAGACCAGTGTGAGTAATAGCACTCTTGTGTCCATTTGGTTTGTTTAAGGACACTCAAAGTGTTATTGAAAAGTATGTACTATGTGGAGCAGCCAGTGGTGTGGTGGTCAAGGTGGTTGGATCCCACCTTGGATCTCAATGTATGGCTCAAATCCTGAACCTGGTGGCTTGGACAACATGCTAGGTACATGTGTGTCTGTGTGCTCAAAATCCTGAAAGGAGGGAGAGATGGAGGAGAAGGGATTGAGGAGTGACCATCACTCTGGGAGATGCTTTCCCTCTCTTTCTCCCTTTCTTTCTTTCTTTCTTTCTTTCTTTCTTTCTTTCTTTCTTTCTTTCTTTCTTTCTTTCTTTCTTTCTCTCTTCTCCCCTTTCTTTCTTCCTTCCTTCCTTCCTTCCTTCCTTCCTTCCTTCCTTCCTTCCTTCTTTCCTTCCTCTCTCTCTCTCTTTCTTTCCTTTTTGAGAGGATTTTTCTATAAGGCATGTGCGCTCACCAGAAAGAAAGAGAAAGAAAGAGACAGAGAGACAGAAAGCAAGAAATCACCCCCCCCCGGGGGGGCGGAGGGGAATAGCCACTCCACAATCCCTTTTCCTCCATTCTCTTCTTGGGATCTTGGGTACGCACGCACACGCACCCGGTGTGAGTTGAAGCCACTGGGTCCAGGACTTGAACCACAGTCGAATACATGGGAGTCCAGCGACATAGCCATTACACTAACTGCTGGTACCTTTCCCTCATTCTTTCTGTCTTTTAAGCAAATGCATATGCCATCAGGAAAAAGCAAACTAACAAACAAAAAAGTATCTAATGTAATAAAAAAATGATCCATGGTATCCCAGTGATAAATATGGGAGTGATATAAAGCACTTTATTGAGAATATATAAAACTGAGGATAATTATTGAAATGGATATGTCAATGTTAGAATGTTTCTGTCGGTAGTTTAGGAAAATAAAGGCTGTCCATGGGTTCCTGTGAGCCACAGGTTTTAAAATTATTTCTAGCGATTCAGTGAGTCATTAATAATATTGAGATAAATGGAGGACAAGAAGTCCAATCTTGGATCAGTGATGACTACTGGTGGTGACTATGTCACGTCCAAGGAAATACATGTCTGGAACCCTGAGGCTCCCACAGAAGAAACCTGTCCCATTTCCTCTGTTTGCAGGGTCCTATAGACAGATGTTAGGAACATAAAATGTATTTGTTTTTGGTCTTTGTGTTCATGTATTTTCACTCTGTTCCTTTAATTGGATCAATACATGAATCAATAAACAAGTACATAAGATAAGGATATAATGGGTGATGAATTGCCCAATTATAAAATATGTGGTTAGGCAAGAAATACTCTTAAATATATTTTGAAAACAGTGAAGTCCTGAGACAAATAAATGTATACATCTCTCACATGAAAATACAGACAGTAGACGTTATTGACAAAACTCATGTTCTGGGTCAGCAGCAAGTTCAAAATTGATCATTTTTTGAAGAGAAAATGAAAGAAATATTCTCCACATAGCAATATCCTAGATGCCTAAGTGAGGGGATGTGTAATGGAAAGAGTAGCCTCAGTTCTGTTTTGTCCGCTCTGTTCTGTACTGTTCAGATGACGTACTTGCTGTTTCAAGGATTGTTCAGGTCTGTTCACAACATTCTTAGGAGAGGACGCTCAGATCAGTTGAGTAATAGTTGAGTCCTTACCTTGGTTTGTCTAAGAGAGTTCAATGTATTATTACAAAGTGTGAAATATAATTAAAAATGACCCAGTGATCAATATGGGAATGATGTGAACTATTGGTGATAATACGTATATAGAAAACAGGATAATTAATGACATACTGATTAATATGATTCTACATATAAATTAGGAATATCAAGGTGATTCTTGGGATTTTGTGAGTCATAGGGTTTAAAATTATTATTAGACTTCCAGACCCCAAAACTCAGAAGCCACTTAAATCTGAGATGTACCCTGTTATGTTTAAGGGCCAAGGCATGAAGGGTATCTGCTCTAAACCCCATCTTCCAGACCCCAAAACTCAGTTGCAGAAACCTTCTCTAACCAATTAGCCAAAAGTGAATACATCACCAAACGACTAAGATTCAGAGAAGAGGGATTGCAGAGTGAGCAGCAGGGAGAAGTACGGAGCTGCAGAGAAAGTGTGGCTCATCTCCTCCCACAGGGCTCTGAACTCTCAGTTGAAACCCCACAGTTCAGCCAACGTGCACTTATTCTCTAGGAACTGTGAGGCCTTTGTAATATCCAGATCCAAAGTCAAAAGCGCAGATTGCTTGGTGATCAGGGAAATGGAACTGCAGAGAGGTTGCACATCACTTCCTCCCACACACCCCTGAATGCTCATAATTAACTCCAAGAAATGAGGACGAAATGTATAGTCTATCAGATGACCAGAAACCATCGCAGAGGCACAAGAAATATGAGAAACCAAGAAAAAACCTTTCTCTCAAGGGAAAAGAACAACCCTTCATCATCCACAGATAGTACAGTGGAACTTGTGGAAATGTACGATAACAGATACAGTGTGGGAAGAGGGTGGGAGGAGGAGAGTGTGAGGATAACATTAAGGAGAAAAACAGAGAGGCAAGGCATTTATGGGGCACAGAAATGGATTATTATCTGTGGATGATAACATGCATAGTATCCCCAACTGTACCGGTGTGAAATACATTCATGTTGGAAAACTTTACAAGCTAAGAGATGTATGTGATTGAATATATAAAAGAAATTAAAATAAAAGAAAATATATTATAAAAAAAATTCAGAATATTTGTAGTGACAAAACTAAATGAGATGTAAGAGATGAGAGACAATGAACTCCAGAAGGTGCAACAGAAAAGAAACCAGGAGGTGAGGAAGTTCTTCTACAATTTGAAAGAAGAAATGCACACCATAAATAAAGAATCGAATGGAGTTGTTAGAGATGAAGACTAATACAGGAAATCAAAACCTCCCTTGAAATTATCAAAAGCCAATTAGACCATGTTGAAGATCGAATCTTGGATGTTGAAGACAAAGCCTCTGACCTAGAAAAAGTCACCAAAAAGACTGAGAAAATAACCGCAAAAATAAGCATAACACAAGAAATTGTAGAAACCATTAAGCGCCCGGATATCTGGATAATCGATATCCCAGAAGGTGAAGAAACGTATAAGGGCATTGATAATCTAGTCTGTGAAATCCTGCAAGAAGACGTTTCAAACCTAGAGAGTCGTTCAAATATCTGGACCCAAGAAATACAAAGGAACCCTAATAGAATCAACCCAAGAAGATCTTCTCCAAGACACATCATAACCAGATTGACCAAAACCACAAAGACAAGATACTAAAATTGGTAAGAGAGAAATATTAGGTTATTTACTAACGTTATCCTATCAGGCTAATATTGGATCTCTCATCAGAAACAATGTGAGCAAGGAAAGAATGGGAAAATATATTCAAAGTGTTAAATGAAAAACAATTTCAACCCAGAATACTATACCTGGCAAGATTATCCTTCATATGGGAAGAAAAGGTAAAAACATTCTCAAACAAAACCTGAAGAATTTACCAACCCGCATCAGCTCTTCAAGAAGTTCTGAAGAGAGTGCTCTACCAGGAAAAGTAAAGACAGACAGACAGAAATAGGAGAACAAAAAATAACCAAGAAAATGACCAAATTAATGGTAGGAACAAGTCCGGAAATATCGATAATAACATTGACTGTTAACTTCTAGGATTTAAATGGAAAGATCAGACCACAGTACTATTCCAAATTCAACAGAAGAGAGATTAATTACATGAGACTGAACTGGTGAAATAGAATATTATGACTCTCTACTAAAACATTACTGATTTTCTTCTATGGTTTGTTTTCCAGATTTAAGAATTTTTCTTTTGAGCTGTTGATAGGTTCAGCCATTTGTTAAAAAAAATTTTTTTTTAAATTAAACATAAACTTTTCTCTCTTCCTGAGCCTTCTGGAATAGGAAAATATTGGTGAATATTCTTATTTTGTGCCAGAAGAGTTATTTACATAAGTTTAATAATACCTATTGCCTTACATTGGACATTGCAAATACTCGTTATTACCAGGGTTTTGACTGGAATGTCATGTATGAAGATAGGACCAAAAAGCCATGGAACCAAGGTAGAGGCTCTTGGAAAGATGGCCTGGCACCATGAACAGTTCTGCCTGACAGAGGATTAGAGAAGTCATATGAAAGATATTCGTACCGTAAAATAACCTGGACTTCCCAGCCCACCGTTATAATCACTAGGCTTTGCAAAAGAACAGCCACAACCAGAAGATTACCTTGAGGAAGACTTTAAAGGAAGAAAAAGAGACAGATCTTTGCTAGCAGATGATAAACCACAGAATACCTGGTAGGCAGAGCTGAGTTGGGAAGGTTCATTTGTGAATCGTGTGCTGGGTATTTGCTTTTTAACAGACTGAGTAGTTGACATGTAAATATTTTCTCAAAAATATTTAAAACCATGCTGTCTCTGTTATTATAGAGTCACAAAATTAGAACAAATATTTTGAAAGTTATCTTTCAAATTCAGTTTTTTGAAATTTTGAAAGTTGTTTACCTACTAACTGTCAAGAACTATGGAGTACCTGCAAAAGTTTTTGATATATGAAGTAAATGTTTGTGGGAAAATATTAAAAAAAAAGTTGTCCAAAAAAAAATCATTATTAGTAAATTAATGAAGTAGTCAGCAGATACTGTAGAAATGAATTGAGAAAAAGAAGATCAATCTCGGGTCAATAATGAGTACTGGTAGCATGACATGCGATGAATAGGTGTCTTGAACTCCGAGGTTCATCAGAGAAGATCTGGCTCATTCTCTCTATTGCAAATGGTACTACAGTCAGATTTCAGAAATATAGAAATATTAGTTTTTTTCTTTTTGGTTATATATTTTTATTTTATTTTTATAACTAGATTAGCAGGAGAATCAACAAAAATTATATGCTAATCTCTTTGAATTGATTTCTAGGCAATGCACATATGCCTTGAAAAGATCATATTGTACGCTGTTATGATGTACAATGATTAAATGTAAAAAAAAAAATCAGAAAATTTTATAGATAAAAAAGATAAAAATGGATGAAGTATTTCCAGTTATACAAATATATGATGAGGCAAGAAATATTAGTATATGTTGAAAATAGTGAAGTCTAAAGAGAAATATAAATGGCAATGCCTGTCACCTCTTGGACTAAGGAGAGCATAGCCCATATAACTTACAAACAAAGGTCAAATCTTGCTCAGCGGCAAGTTCAAAATTGTTCATTTTCTTAAGAGAAAATGAAATACACTCCAAGTAAGGCTTGTGTAAGTGGCTAAGTAATGCTAGGTGGAAAGCAAGGATCAGCAGTGACAATGTCTCAATTTCTTGTACTTGTTCTCTGTTCTAAACCCCTTAGAATGGGCGTATTTGTGATGATTTATGAATTCATCCATGTTCAGGTTCATTGTTTACATCACTTGAAGGAAGAAACCAATGTGAGTAATAGTTTTTGTTTTGATTTCAGCGTTTTTTTTTTTTCAAAAAATATTTATGTATTATTAAATGGTATATAATGTAGTCAAAGAAGGCCAACTGTACCCTAGTGACAGATGTGAGAGTGTTGTAAAGTATTACGATGATAATGCATATCTGAAAAGCTGAGGGTAGTTATTACAGATTTATCAATTTCATTATAGAATGTTTCCATATACAGATTCGGAATGCCAAGGCCAGTCTTGGGGTTTTGTGAATCATAGGACTTAAAAGTATTATTAGGGAATTAATTATTTAATCAATAAACAAATTAGAAATTAATAAAAAGAAAAGACAATAAATCCTGGATCAATGATGACTACTGGTGGCGTATGAGTCATATACGATGAATACGTATCTGGAACTCTGAGGTCCAATACGAAGAAATCTAAACTCATTCTCTGTCTTTGAAATAATCTTATAGGCAGATGTTAGGAATATGGAATGTTTTTTATTTTTAGCCTTTGTGGTTATGTATTTTTTATTTCTTTTTATAATAGGTCCATGAAAGAAACAATAAAGAAATATGTAAATAAAGATGAATTAAGTTAAGCATCGGCCAATTATTAAAATATTTGGTGAGGCAGGAAATACTGTTATTATATACTGAATCAGTGAAGGCCAAAGAGAAGTCACACATAATCTAATTTTTGGCTAATAGTAACATGGACAGTATAAATTACAGACCATATTCATGATTTGGTTCAGTAGTAAGTTCAAGATTTTTCATTTTCTAAGAGAAAATAAAATAAATATATTCCAATAGTGACTGGTTAAATGATAAGTGAAAAGCAAAAGTCCAAGGTGAGGGACCAGCAGTTACTGTGATGGCTATGTTGCTGGACTCCCATGTAGTCAACCGCGGTTCGCGTCCCGGACCCGGTGGCTTACAACTCACACTGGGCATGTGTGCATGCGTGCCCAAGATCTCGAGAGGAGAATGGAGGAGAAGGGATTGCAACGTGGCCATCCCCCCTGGGGGTTGATTTCTTGCTTTCTGTCTCTCTGTCTCTCTCTGTCTGTCTGGCGAGCGCATGCACCTTATAGCAAAAACCTCTCAAAAAAAAAAAATAAGTTCATGGTGAGACTCTCTCAATTTTTAAATCATCTTCTCTTTCCTGTGCTCTTCAGTGTGGATGTTCGTGTGCTGATTTGAAAGTCCTTCCATGGTCATGTGCTCTCTACACCACGCGCAGAAAGGAACAAGCAGAGCCACGTGAGTCAAGTCAAAGTCTGTATTTTACTGTGGTTTAAGATGATTCTATGTATCATGACCAGTATATAATAAAATCAAAGAAGGACAGGTGCTCCCAGTAGTAGACATAGAAATAATGTGAAGCACGTATCTATGAAAAACTGAGGATGATTTATGAAATAGACATATCAGTGTTAGAATGATGCTGGATAAGATTAACGCTATTAAGGCTGCTATTGGGGTTTTGTGGATCATGGGGCTTAAAATGACTCTTCATAAAATAATTAACAAAGAAGGCAAGGTAGGAATAAATGAACAAAAAAGCCAATCAATTCTGGATCGATGATGACTACCGGTGGCATGTGAGCTGTGTATGAGGAATGTGCGTCCGGAACTATGAGGTTAAAGGAAATCTTGCCCATTTTCTGTTTGAAATGATCTTGTAGACAGATGTCAGGAATATAGAATTATTTGTTTTTGATCTTTGTGTTTTTGTATTTTCATTGTATTTTTATAATTGGTCACTGTAAGAATCAATAATCATATACGTAAAGATTAATAAACGTAAGTATTTTCCAATTATGAAAATATGTATTAAGTCAAAAAATCCTGTTAATTTACTAAAATATCAATGTCCAAAAGGAAAAAAATTAGTATGTGCCTGTGACACGTTTGCTATAGATGTATCTATACATTATGACCATGAAGATTGATGTGAGTAAAGGTCTTTTCTTGATGTCAGCTTTTTGTTTAAAGCAACTGAATGTATATAAAAACATGAAATAGGGACCAGCAGTTGGCGTAATGGCTATGTCGCTGGACTCCCATGTAGTTCATCGCAGTTTGGCATAAACTTCCACCGGGCATTTGTGCGTGCGTGCCCAAGATCTCGAGAATGTAGGAGAAAGGATTTTGGTGTGGCCACCCCCTCTGGGGGGTGATTTCTTGCTTTCTATCTCTCTGTTTCTCTCTGTCTTTCTATCCCTCTGTTTCTCTCTTTCTGGAGAGCACATGTGTATCATAGCAAAAAACGTCTCCAAAAAAAAAAAAAAAACTCAAATAAAAAAGTGTTAAATATAAAAATCAAAGAAAGGTACACTTTGGCTTATTTTTTAAAATGAGGTAATATCAAACATGTGCATATAACATTGAGGTAAAATAATGAAAAATGTATTGGTGTGAATACTAATAATATAGACAGATGTTAGAGACGTTCAGGAATCTTACTCTCAAGGTTTTATGACTTGTTGGTAATTATTTTATCATTATTTTTGGACAGACAAGAATTGAGAGAATAGTAACCTGACTTGAGACCATGATGATGACTGGTGGTGTATGAGTCACAGGTACAGGTGATGGATACTCATGTCTGGATATTAGAGATATTAAAGAACTTATTTTATGGTTAATTCATTATGGTTATATTAATGAATGAAGAAATACATTTTTATAAATATGGGTGACGCATATTCTATTTGTTAACATGTATGGCAAGGAAACAAATACTATTAATATACTTTGGAATGGATAATAAAAAAGAAACCAACAGTTTTACCTCTTTGGCTAAGAATCATATAGCTGCTGGTAAATAATAATCTGTGTTTTTGCTCTGGGTTGCTTTTATAAGTTTAATATCTGCTTTACTAAGAGAAAAATCAGAAGCTATTAACAGAAAGTAAAAAAAAAACATTAAACAATTGAGGTTGTGAAAGGAGGAATAAATGACTAATAACTGTTATCCTGTGCCCTTCCATGTGCTCCTTAGGACAAGCGTTCCCACCCCAATTTAGGCACTGTGCATAGTCATGAGCTAAGTGGGTGTCTTGGGAGCACGTGAGTTAGAGTCAGTGTTCTTGTTTTGGTTTGGGCCAATTAAGAGTAATGAAGAGGTAGGACTATCTTTATTGTTTTTTTTTTTTTTTTACTTTTTTTAAAAAAAATTTCACTGTCTTTTATATGGTCAATCATATGATTTAGCTTACAAAGTGAATATTTCAGTATGTGAACATTTCTCCCTAGTCCAGTTGATAAAACTATAAAATATCTTCAACAGGTAATACCACATTTCTTTGTCCCATTAATGCTTTGCCTTCATATTTTTCTTCTAAATGTCCTTCCTCAGGCCCTGCTCTTCCACACACACTATATCTGGTATTTACAATCATTTACTGTGTTTGTATATCTTTCAGTCAATCAGTTTCAGCCATAGAGTGCAAACACTCGGTATATATTAAGTGGAGACATACAATGTCTCTCCTTCATAGTCTGGCTTGCTTCGCTCAGCAGTAAATCTTCCATATTCTTCCACTTTCTATCAAAAGCCAGGGTTTTGTTGTTTATTATGGCTGAATAGTATTCCATAGAGTATATGTGCCCCAGTTTTTCAATCCATTCATCTGTTTTGGGGGCATTTGGGTTGGTTCCATGTCTTAGCAATTGTGAATAGTGCTACAATAAACATTGATGTG